CACCGTGGGATCAACACAATTTGAATTACATCGAGTCTTTGCTTGATTTATTGCTGTGGATTTTCTTCGATTGAAACCCTGATTTGTTGAACTTCTTTCTCAGTGATGGAAATATTAGTGATATGTTCATATTCAGCATGACTGATGGAAAATTTAATTAAACCTGTTCCAAGATAACCGTGTTTTTTTTAATGGATAGTATGTTCATCAGATTTGCGACATTTGTCGCTAAGTAGATTTTTTATAATTTTAACTTTTTTTAAGTATAGTGTTGTGTTATACTTCGACGATCAGCATATTCCTCAAACCTGCAAAAATGGCGAGTAAATTGTGTTTTCTCGCATAAGGTTTCCTTTCAACTCTTTATCAGTCCAACTCGAATTGGGGAAAATAATTGTAACAATGATAAGAAGAGGATCATGGATTACGGCATTCATTAAAAATTCGAGTTCATCTCGACATGTCCGATTAGGGAATCACAAGATTGACAAAACTTATGATTTGACCCTCGCATTTCTGGACGCTGTCGCAACCCGGCACAGTGAAAGAATGATGTGGACATCCGTCAGTGAATCTCTCTTGATGGCGTTGAACTGTTCTCGAGAAGCCGTTTGATTGAAGAAAGAGTTTTTCCTTTTTTGGAATATTTATCGGACAAGAATGCATGCCTAAGTTGGCATCCCTGCGTGCGGAGGGGGAGATTTTTTTTTCTAGTACAGTACTGTACATGGGCGTCCCACCGGTTTCGAAACGACACCTGAATCTTTCAGAAGAGCCTTAAACGTCGCATGGACGCAACTTTTTGAAGCATTCCCGCATCTGTGTTCGTGTAATTGGAAAACTTCTTCATTTTGATAATGAAGCCAGTTTTTTCCGAACACACAAGCTCATATTACACAACTTATGTGAAAAATAAACTTGCCACGTACTAATAAACTTGAAGGGCTTCTTTTTTGGAAGGATTGATGGTCAAAAAATCTTCGATGTGCGTGAAAAAAATAGCGAAGTTTTATTTCTTGAAAAAACGATTTTTTTTCATCTTTCTATGTGATATTTCGAAAGAAAATGACAAGACGGAGTACATCACTACGCAGGTGAACAGAAAATTTGACCGATTTTGAGACAAATACAGTAGAGTTTCTCCAAAACGATCGAAAAAATTCAGTTGAGTGAACCTCCATTTAACGGATTTTTCTATATATTTCTTGGAAAAGTTGGTCAATTTCGCTGTTTGAAAAATGCGCTCTTTTTTTGGTTCATCATGTATTTTATTGGTGAACGGTACCTCAATTGATTCTTTTTTTTAATTTAATCCGTGTAAATATGTTTTCTAACACGCTGAAGTTGCTTAAAAATTACGAAAGTTTCATCATTTTGTGATCTTAAATAAAAATCGAAATTCGAGTTCAGTTTGAATCCGTGTTTGGAAGTCTGTCTATATTTTTGCCTTCCCTATATTTTCGATTACTTAATCACGTATTAATGGATTGTTGACGAAAAACTGCGCGTAAATGGTCAGAAGCAGATTCATCGACAAGGTTTTCTTTCTGTCTTTAAAAATCGGGGAAAGCTTGGGTATCCAATTTTCGCTGACAAGAATCAAAAGCTTAGTTCAGGTTGAAGCTGTGAGAATCTGAGACACACTGTGAAAGGTTACATATTCCTTGTACGTGTGTATGTCCCGTTTCTTGTCATCGTGACAGCGCCTTCTGTCACACTTTTTTTATTTTCTCAAGAAGCTGCCGCATGGGAACCAAATTGAGACACATCTATTCAAGTTAGAATCCTTCTGCTTATTCATTATTCGTTTTATTCCAAGTCAGCTCGATTTTTGTTTATCTCTTTCTCTCTTCGTCACGTCTGCTCTAAACGAGTACTGACAGGCTCAGACGTTGTTTAACCCCGAACGATTCGCTCGTTCGTCCTCATTTTCGCTGCAGACGTGACTTTCAAAAATTGACAGCACCGTCTCGTTTCCATCCATGCAACGGACCATAAAGAATGGTGTGAAAGATGGTGAGGATTTTTTGAGAAAACCGAGAGACAGCGTCTATCTGTGTAAACTCTGTGGCGTCAACTGCGTTGACACGGTTTCGTGTGGCAGGTCGGGACTCGAGAACCTATTTGCGAATGGATCCACTGAAAAGTTTGACTAGATTTTTTTTATTTTCAATTTCCCACTTCGGAATTTCATGTTTCTTTTTTTGTCGGTGCGAGTCGAAAATTCGCAAAATTCTTGACGAAATTCATCCCGAGCTGTTGGAAAAAAAAAATTGTTGCGAGCACTGTTCTGTCTCCTCATGTTATACTCAAACCCGGATTTCTTGGTATTGCAATGAGTAAAAAGTATTCCAATGTAATGTGTAGGGAAAATACTGTACTTGTTCTGTACTTTTCGACATCGGGACGCAGATGAGTGTGAATCTCTAGGTCTCACTGTAATTTGAATATTGTAACTTGACGCATCTTCATTTTTTTAAAGGAATTTTGAAAAAAATGCATTTTATGTAGAAGAAAAGGTAATTCTTCCGTTTTTCGATTTTTGATTCAATCATTGTAATTATCCATGTATGCGAACAACCTCAAATCCAAGCTCTAAAATAAAGCTTTGTGCTACGCGCATTCATTCATTTCGTTTTCTGATATTACGGACAAATTATGATATTCTGATATTACGGACAAATCAGTTAATCGCATGAGCAATATCATTGTTCTTTATCTTTGACTCGGCGATTTTATTCTCGATTGACTGAATTATTAAGTTGGTAATACTGCAGAGGAAAGATATCTTGCAAAATTTACGTGAGAAAATCGCGCTGCGTATAATCCATATTCTGATCTATATGGTTGAGGGAAATTAAAGGAAAGGAAGACGCCAACTGGAAAACCACCTATTTTTGCCGGGAAGAAAGAAGATTCAGATTATTAGATTGACACTTGATGTAACCGTACTTCGAATGAAAACCGTGAAAAGCTTTGTTGCTTAAAGTCTACCGACGGTGAATTCATGTTGAACCATTAGCATGCTTTTTTGATTCTGCGCGATTGAGCTCCGGAAATGTGAATTCTCAAGAGAGAAACCTTAAAAGAACAAGTCTCAAAAATGAGAACCCAACAGAATGAGTTCCAAAAAGGGGCAAGTCTCGATATACGGTTTGGTTTTTCGAGTTATGTATTTCCTTTTTACAATAGGTTTGCTGGAGTAGATTAAATCGGGTAAATATTCGAGTCAGGTCACTATGCTGCACTCGACTCTTCGTGCAATTGCTATTCTGATGCAATGCTTCTTTTTAAATATTTTAAACCGATTTGCTCCTGACGCACACGAGAAGTAACCCGACTGCGGAAGCGACCGAAATCGGGTATCTTTTAAAATTTGGGACACCCAAGCTAATGAGAACGAAAAAAAAATAGACGAGGAACTTGGAAACGCGTCAAATGGAATGAAAGAAAGAGTTTGGGGAAAACGTCGTGGGCGGGTTTTAGTATCGAATTTCACGTGAGGTCAATTTTGCGCGTCGGCGATCGGGTGGTGAATGCACGTGATGATGCATCAGGTCAGGTGAAGAAGGAACACCCCCACTCTGACCCCCTTCGAGTGGCGCATCCGGCTGGAAGCATGCCACATAGCCCTTCACACAACGATGTTCACGGCTCATCGAAGTCGTGTTCGGATTGTACACAAAAATAAAGTAGAAGAAAAGAAGAAGATAAAATAAATCTTCATTTCGCGTCGGGTTGACCCGGAATCATTAAAATAACACGATGTGAGGTATTTATTTTCTTGTATTTTTGTCCTTTACGTGCACCATCTTCCTGAAATAACGAAGAGAATAAATTTCCTCATCTGATCATGTGCGTTCACTTAACTGTTCCCATAGAATTGTGTTTTATGGTTTATCAAGAAATGAAGTTATCGACAGCCCGGAGGGAAAAAACCTCATTCTACTAATTTTATGATTTCTGAAAAAATGAACGGGACTTTAAGGGAACATCTGTTTTAGAATCGCGTTCAAAATACTGTACTACAGGTGGTTAATGATTGGGTTAAAAAACATGCATTCATAAAAATGTTGATTACTCTATCGTATAACTAGATTTTAATTTTTGATGAATATTTCTTCTTGGCATTGCCTGTTGATTGAATTTAACTGAATTTGGTGCGGAGAATTTTGAAAATTTCGAGAGAAAAATGTAGAATCACGATTGGAATTTTTTTCGTTTGATAGATCAACTTTCAACCAACCGAATTTCTCGCTCGAATATTCATTTTCTTGCTTGGGATAATAGTCATCAAGTTTACTACTGAACAATGAGTTTTTCTACTGTATCTATGCTAGAATTTCGAAAATAAAAGCTAAGTGTTCATTTTTTTCGAATCTGAGTCGGCAAGAATTTTAGGCATACGGTAATTTGAAAATATATAGAATTGCTTCAGCCTTCGGGAATGCTGTACTGTATATCGAGCGGAGTCCACGTAAGTGCGATGGGGATTTTTCTAGAAAAGTGGGGCATTTCATGAAATCGTGGAAATTATCTGCCGCTGAGGATATTTTTCAACTTCGAAGCATGTTTCGAGTGAAGAAAACTAAATGTTCAATCTTTGGAATGCTGCTTTTTTTCTGTGAGCGGTTTCAAAGTCATGTCTTAATCATGATACTTTTCGTGCCAGAATGTATTAAATTCAATGAGGAAATACAGTATGAATGAGGCGCCGTTGGCAATTAGTCGTAGAAAGGAAATGTTTTCGGAAATGTTGTCATTTAAAAGAAACAGGACAGTGGGTCTTAAAATTCTAACAAACCTTCATTTTCAATGTGCTAAAAAATTTGGGGCGAGTCTTGAATACGCCAACGAATTTTTTTGTTGTTTCTGTTCGAGGGTCTAACTAAACATATTGGGTGCCTTATCGGTGTTTTCGTGTACTGTATTCTCCTTTACGCGCCACTTCGAGAGTTGTTCTGGAATTGATTTTTTCGACGTATTTTTTTTCGTTGCAGATTTCAAGCATTTCAGCGAACAACGAATTCACGTTGTTACCGTCGATTCAGGTGGAAGTTCTGCAATTTACGCCTGAAAGTTGGCGCGGGGGCAGCAATAGAAGTAACCATGAGAACGACGTTGAGAGTCGGAGCTCTTCAGGCTCTGTCAGCCCAGTCGAGGGTCAGCCAATTCGAAATCACAGCTATACGAGAGTGGACCTCAGCTCTATTCAGCCCTATGGACTGTCCATAATGGTCCTTGATTTCATCAAGACCCAGGTTGCCGGCGACTTGAGCAGTTTGGACGAGTTGGGCAAGAAGGTTCGTTCGTTGATTGCTTGTTGAAAAACATGTTCATGGTTCTCTGAATACTTGCGTAGAATTAGCTTTAAATGGCGATTTTAATTGTGTAGGTTAGTGCAGAGGGTACTCGACCCCTTTTTGACTCACTCGGGGAGCGCTTTTTGGAAACAGAACCAAAATGGGCTAATTTTGTACAACGCCATTTTCCCTTGTTGATACGGGGTTCTTTCAATGGCGAGAAATTCTATTGAAAAGGACTATATTGATCGATTTTGGGTTTTGTTCTTCGAATATCTTTTGCAGCTGTCTGATTATCCTTTTGAGTTGGTTTATGGAAATGTGAGTGATGGTTGAATTGTATGTTTTCGTTTACAGACCAACCTATTGTTTTTCAACAATATGGACAGCATTCTCCGGGATTGTAACGAAATGGAAGAAGGAGCGGAAACAGACATGACGCAGGCGGATTGTGAAATGGTGCAGGACTATAAAATTATGTCGAAAAAGAACTCAGCCAAGCCGAAGAACAGAATGGGACGCACCCTGAGCAACAACCCCACGAAACCGAGGCACTTGCTCTATTCAAGGATGATTCCCGACGTCGTCAACGCGGATCAAGATCCCGAATGGAAGGTTTTGGCCACCAATCAAATATCTGGTGCGTTAATTTTTTTTATACTCTTCGCTTCTAACTCGGATTCCAAGCCTTTTTAATCAACTAAGTGAGGTGGCGAAGCTGAAGGCCATGTTTCGTTGCGAAATTTAGTGCGAGGGAAGAAACTGAAGTACTGTATTGCCTGAATTTGCTCTTTTCACGTTCATGTTTCACAATAATTATCGTGGGTAGAACAATTCTGAACCCCAGGCGACATCTGTGAGAGGAAAAAGAAATTAATTTTCGCCATTCACGGAATTTTCAATGTTTCAGGAAATTGTGCGACAATGGCGAACGCATAGTTTGTTATTCTGCACCAATCTAGTGAAGGAATCACGCGCTCGACAATGAACGTTTACATTTCTTGAAGTCCGAGTTCACAGAAAAATGACTGTAAACTATTTGTTTAGAAATCCTACGCGAACAGAAGTAGTTGAAAATTTTTAAACTGCTTAGACTATTTAGAAATCTTTCAACTATTTTAGAAATCTTACGCAAACAGAAGTAGTTGAAAAATGTTCCCGCCAGCTTGTGTTTTCAGGGTTGATGTTTCGAATACTGTACAGTAAATTAAATATCTCAAAAACTGAGAAATGAACTTCTATATTAAATGCTCTATAAATTAGAAAATAGCTTTTGTAAGCAGTATCCTCGTGAAAGTGGAAGTTGTACTTGAAATTTTATGAATGATTATTCTCTCGACATACAAATCTAAAACTAATGCTTTATTGGATGTACATTACTCGAGCCATCTCACAACCTCCAGTTTTATTTCTGATGTGTGCATGGTTGTGATTTCATCGTGAGCTCGTTGCTGTATTTAAAAAAGCGTCCATAGTCAAAAAATAAAAATCTGAAAAGGAAGAATCCTTCGACTGCAGCAGGATTATCCATTTCTCAAACATGTTTTATTTCGTATCGACAGATTCTCACGTGGCTACGATCGCGGCATTGAATGGAACTCTGTTCAAGATTTCCATCAGGACGAGGATCACGACGCTGTCACCGAGCGAGACGCCGAACTCGTCACGGCCATCGTCCATCGAGGGCACGGACGGGTTTGTACTTGTTCCTCCGATGCCTTCAGCCAAATGCGCACTGGGTGCTGGAAATTTGGATGGAAAACTCGTTGTTTGTGGTACGACAATTACTTCATTTCCATGAATTTGTCATCTTAAAACGGTACTTTTTGAATTTAAAAAAAAACCGTATTTTACTCATAGTACCGTAATCACCCGAGTACCACCTGTACATTTTTTCTCAAAAAATAAATTTTTAACGAAGTTCAAAGTGTGCATTGTACGGTACTTCGATTCTGCTAGAAAATTAGGACCAATTTTGTCAGACAAATGTACTTAAATGGGAACAATTTTAAATTACTGTAGTTCAATTCTGGTTCAATTCATGTCTGAATTGAAATTCGAGTGTTCTTAATTTTGTAATATTGCAGTTATAGAGTCACTAACAATGAGTTACGCGTCTTACTCGGGGATACAATTAGCCCAAATTATAGACTGAAAAATCCGGGTGCGCGTCTTACTCGAGGGCATTGACGAATTATGTAGAACTTTTGACGAAAAAGGTAATGTAATTACCGTGTAATTGGAAGCTACCTTAGCATATTTAGAATGACTAATTGGTTCCAATCCCAGTGAGTCCTTCACGTGACTATATACTGTAATTCAGTATCAACTGTGAAGCTTTCGGGATAGCTAATCGGTGCTTATTTTTCGACGTTGTTTTAATCTCTGAGACATTCTTCATTTTTAGGGGGATACGATCGCGGAGATTGCCTGAAAACAGCTATGATGTATGACCCGAAGACGAACAAATGGACGGACTTGCCTGCAATGTTGGAGCATCGTGGCCGACTGGACATCGCCGTGATTGACGGCTGTGTTTACGCTGTGGGTGGCTCAAGTGGTAATAAAGAATTGATGACTGCGGAAGTTTTGGATCATCGTGGAAGTGCGAAAAAATGGCAACGTCTCCCTCCGTGTCGCATGCCACGGGCTAGCTGTGGTGAGTTATCTTGACGCTGTTAAACGGCGAAACCCAGATAAAATAATGCAGGTCGTTTAGCAATATTTTCACCCAGAAATTATCTAGAAATGAGGTGCGCGTATGTTTTCGATTGGTAGTAAAATTTCGATAGATGTTTAATTGGAAAAAATCCTTCATAGAATTGCATAACTTATTTTACCCGCATGCTAGAAGCTTCAGTGGGCACTTCAGTGGCCACTTCTCGAATTCTGCGGGTATTTTGCTTCTTTTCTTCCTATGGAATTTTTATCGTATTTTGAGCTGTGCACAACGTTTTATAAATTATGCCCGCTTAGTAACATTTTGTTGTTAATAAGGTTTAATAAAGAAAAATTTGAGGACTGACGCGAGCTGAATTGGAAGCATAAGTTGGTTGAAAGTTTCGAATATTTTTTAAATACTGTTTTTTTTTTTTTTACAAATTGAGAACCGATCCTTTTTGGATTTCAGGTGTTTGCGCACTGGAGAGGAATATTTATTGTATTGGCGGTTGGGATGGTCAACGTGGTTTCAAGGAATGCGAAGTCTTCGACATTGATGAAAAGAAATGGTCTGATATTCCGTCGATGATGACAGGTGAAGTTCTATGAAGTTTTCATTTAATATTGTATCATGTTGGCGAAAAATTTATGGAAGCTGTGAAAAAGGTCCCGTTTTAATAGAAGTTAATCTCTTCACAGATGAAATTCATTCTGTAGTAAATTATGTCCCCCGCATGAACATGCTAAGTTGAAACTCTTTTCTCATGAACGATTTCTCAGGGCCGCAATAATTTTTTGAATACCCTATTTGAAAGTAAACTCTTCGTTGAAATTTTTTGGCATAATGACCTGGGAAAATACAGTATACAGTTCAGAAAAATTGAAAAACTTTTTCGATTTTTTTTCAGGTCGGTACCAAGCCGGCGTTGCTGCATTCAGAGGTGAAATTTGGGTCGTCGGTGGATGCGAATCGTGGGGCGTATTGAACTCCGTGGAAATCTATAATCCGAAAACTGGAACCTGGCGTGCGGGACCTCCGATCACTATTGCTCGGCGTGGTTGTGGTGTCACTGTTTTCAAGGGTGAGTTTATTAAGAGTATCAACCGAAGGAAAATGCGATGCACAAAATGAGGCCCTATTTGAAAGCAATTGCTGGTTCACTGAATACCATCGTATTCTTCGAATATGAAGAATTTTTTCATCTTGAAAAACCTTACATTAATGCATAAGCTGCTCCACTGCAATGTTGCGCTCTGTTGAGAAATTTAATTGCTTCTTATCGAGTATTTTTAGAGCTCCTTGCATGCATCATTAATTCGTTTTGAAGGTACTGTAGTTCAATGGCTTTACCGTACTTCGAAGTAAAAAATTTGACTTCTTTCGGATTTTCAAGAAATGGCGAGAGATTGTTTCCATGGTGTTTCTTTTCTGTTCTGGCGTGATTTCATGTTTATAATTAGCCATTTACAATTTAGTCTGAAATAAGGCGCCGGATATTATCATCGAAGCCGTAGTCGTATAAGAATCGGACCAACTGAAAAAGATTCGCATGTGCTGAATCGTTTATTTATGTATTTCAGGAAAACTCTGGGTTGTGGGTGGCACTGATGGACCGAATTCCCTCTTCGGAACCGAGTTTTACGACCCCGATGACCGCAAATGGCACGAAGGTCCGAATTTGACCGTTCCGCGCGGGAACGTTGCTGCTGTGGCCATTGATGACGGGTTGTATGCTATTGGAGGTTTCACTGGTGAGCACATCGTTTTCATAATCGTGAAAAAATTGTTTCCCCTGCAAAGTCGGCCTTGGTTTCTGGAATGCTAGACAGGGATCGCCTTAAATCCTATCCTGACTAAACTAGAAGTATGAGATGGTCAAACAACGCTGTCAGTATTTTTACTTGGGCACTTCTCCAGGCCAATCTGCTGCTAAATTTTCGGGAAGGCTGGTAGCATTTATGATTTAATTTTAAATTTAATTCTACCTGAAAAAATTTTCCGGAATTCGGAGTAATTTTCGATTATTCTGACGAAGGCCCCCGGTTATTAGTTTGGATAATTAGAGTTCTACACGCAAGGTCACTTGTAAAAGAAAAGTTCCCGCGACGCCTATGAATAATCCTTATTCTTGGACTAATCGAATCCAATGAAGCTTAAAAAAGATACATGCGACACATGCAAAATAATCATGAATTCGGCGGAGGTCATGCGGAGTATTTGAAAAAAAGGAAAGCAAAAAATATTGAAAGGGTTGCGGTGAATACAGTACTGTGTATATGATCTGATCACGTCTCGTGTCTGAGGAATGTTTTTTTTTTTTTACTTGTAGGAAAGACATTCCTGAACTCATTGGAATTCCTGGATGCGGACCTCATGGAGTTCTCTACGTTCCTGCCAAGTCCGAAGCTGGTGGAATGCTATCGCGATGCACTTTTGCACGCGAACTGCAGTGAAGCTATTCTGCCTTCGATGATCCTCGGCAGCCTGACGACGAACGGCCACGATGCAAACTAGCGCATTTCCCTGGACAATTGATTGCCCCATCACCCAGAAAAGGAAAAAAACAAAAACATGGAACGTTTCTGTCATTCCGCGGCTTCTGTTCTCCTTTTATGTGCTCTCTGACAACTTATTATTTTTTCTCCCCCGCTGGGATTGGAAGGATGTGAATGAGGTGGCGTATAAGAAGCATGTCTCGTTTAGTGGTGCAATTTAGTTGTGCAATACTTGAACCGATTATCTGTTGGCAAACGCTAGAGTAGAGCGTGAGGTTCAAACTGTTGCGTGGTCGTGTCGTGGGCTCATTCTGTGGCGCAACGGTTGCATCGGACCCTAGACGAAGTCTTATTTGCCATGTCAAATGAAGAAATGTTGAGCAAATGGCATGAAGATCATTATGCATTTTCTGGGTTATCCGTTGTGTTCGCACGTTTGATTGGAGAGAATCGGGATACTATCTGTATACGTATGTGCATTCGTGGAAGGAATTTCGATGCACTTGAGATCCAAGAAGCTCAGGTTGGAACTATCCTTGGAAGAGAAGAGATATTCTCGTTTTGCCACAGCGCTTGATCTAACCAATAGAAACGGAAGACTAAATCTTTGCTGTGATTTCTGTGTAAACCTTTACGTTTAGTAACCTCCCCCTTTCTTTTGTTTGGATATCCAAGTTTTTGCCTTTTCCATCTCGCACGCAAACTCCCCTATTTTGTAACTCGTTGGTGTTCAACTTCAGGTCGGGCTTGTCTTGAATGACTGGTGAGGTAATGGAGTGGATTGAAGGGAGCAGACCGCGAACCTTACTTCTCTCATGGTGGCTGTATTTTTGTATGGAAAGAAACCGGACTTTTCTCGTAAAAACGTCGGGTAAGATGATGGGCGGAAGAGAGACTAGTTGACTGGAAAACATGTGGGGGAAAGTATATTCTTCGACTTTTGTTCTATGCGCCCTTGCAGAGAAGAAACGATATTTCCGCTTTCAGTTTCCCGTGAAACTCTTTGGGTGCGATTGTCCAAGTAATGAGATTAGTAAGCACGGTGAGAATAAATGGTGGCTCGACTGATCGTATGAACACGTTCTTCTGCCTGATTTTTTCAATTTATTTATTATTTTTCTTTGTGATTTCTACCAACTGACCAAATGGGGCATTTTTTCGCAGATGACGTTCTATTTCTCTAAGAAAAATCGTGAGAAACCCGTTGTGGACCCAGACAAAGGTGAGATACGTTTTTCAACGTGCATCGCATGAATTTTCACTTCGTACATATCAGGAATGGTCCAATCTTGAAAGCGGGAATTATTTATAGCTTTGGAAATTAAGAAATCGATTTTTCCGTACATTTTAACTTTTTATGTGAAACGGGATTTTTGTTCTGTGTAATACAATTCTCGAATCATGATGCGATTCGTCGGTTTTTTCGCCGAGCTGAATGGAGTTCGGGAATTTCGTAGTGTTCTTTTGAATGGACTTCTGTCAAATACAGCTTCAAAGGAAAAATCTCATAATTTATTTTGCTATTCCAAATTTTCTGAAGAGAAACGCTCATTTATTTAATTTTAAACAAAATATTTTGATTCCTTGGGTAGTTTCGCCCCGAACTAGATAGAATTTTGAACTTGGTACATTAATTGTTGGTGTATTGTCGTTTCTAAAGGACTGTAAAAAAACGTGAAAAATTCTCAAAATTGTGGGTGCAATTCCGAATTTTGAGAAAGAAATCGCTGCTTTGTTCCTTTTTTTTAGCAAAACATTTTTTTCTCCTTTTGTGTTCGTTAGTTGGAGAAGAGTGGCGAAGAGAAGAAGGATTTAATTCTCTTGACATTCCGGTGATAAATGCTACAGAGAAAAGGTCGAGACGTGTTTTTGATCATCTTACACAAAAACCGGATATGGATTGCGAAGTCACGGAAGAGTCGTGGAAAGCCCTTGTACGAGCTTCTCTTGAAAAGCTCAAGCCTCAAACGAAAGATGTGAAAGGAACCGCTTCCTTAACATCTGCGGAAACGGAAGAAAACTTGAATGACTTTAAAAAGATGAAGCCGTGGCAAAAGAAGAAGTTCCTTTTGTCTCAAGCAAATGCTCGTGAAGTAGAACAAGAAGAAAGCTTAGATGATCAGCAAGCAGCGAAAAAACCTAGTTTGTGGCAGCAACGCAAAGATACTGCCAAAGAGGCAAAGGAAAAATATGCAGAAGCTGGTGATCTTGATGATGAAAAAGAGATGATATCGCACATGACTCCCTGGCAACGCAAAAAATATCTTGTTAAAAGCATGAAAGGTAGGTTGCGATTTTTAATTTTATTCCCATTTCTGCTGTGAAAACAACTTACATTATGCTGTAGAGAGAGGAATTGAGAATTCTGGGGATTTCGAGGGAATGAATCCAGGCGATGTGTCCACTAGCATTCTTGGAAGGAATAAGAAGAGGAAAGCATCAGAAGACATAGGTTGGTTGTCAGAGTTTCTGAAGGATCCCCAGCGTTAAATTGTGTTTTTTGAATCTCCAGAAAATGATCCAGAAGCTCGCGAACCCCCCAAAATCGTCAGTGCGAGGTCCTTGCTTGTGAGTACCCGATTGTATTGCAAATATAGTCTGTCGAAAAAGTTGCTGTAAAGTGGGAAACACGGCATTTTTGGTCTGTCGATCTCGAGGGAAAAACTGTGCAAAAGATGCTTCCAATTCAGGCGTGAATTTTTCTAGAAAGCTCAAAGCATTAGGTAGGCGAAAAATTGGGCCTTATTACTGCCTTTATTTCAGCAATTTTTAGCTTTTGTGAAATCAACAGAGGGGGCAGATAAATTTCGGAATGACGAGATTAGTAAGACAGTCCATTGTGATTGTCGTCATTTGAAACGATTCTTAATTTTAACGAAAAGCTGAATTACCGCAAGTTTTTCACTGCGGAGGAACTTTCAGGGTATCCGATATTTCCTCACCGGTATGGAATTAATTATGTTTCTTTGATTGCGCAGACGGGATCCAGAATTGGTTTGAGCAAATCGCAGAGCAGCAACGGGTCCAAACCCAAACAATCTGATCCGTTGCATCGACCATTTCAAAATCCCGCTCAAAAGCCCGTCAACGAAACCAGCAATCCTCGGAATTCTCGCGATGTTTCCAGTTTCAACTGCGAGGAAAAACTTCCTTCAGTGAAACGAACCGGCAGCTTAACGTAATTTAGCATTACTTCGGTCATAATTACTTGAGGTATGAATCTGTGTTTGGTTCGGAATTTGTATTCAGAGAAAGAATGGAAATGGGAGAGGAGCTTGGGAATCCGCTTCTTAGAAATCTGGACCCGAAAATGATAGAAATGATTGAAAATGAAATCATGGATCAAGGAACTCATGTGGATTGGAATGATATTGCCGGCTTGGAGCACGTGAAGAAAGTCATCAAGGTCAGCACATTTAAGCCGATTCTAGAGATCTTTTGTTCCCAAAAATTACGTAATACTGTACAGGAAATCGTTGTCATGCCGATGCTACGTCCGGATATCTTCACGGGACTCCGTGGACCTCCACGAGGATTATTGCTCTTCGGACCTCCTGGGACTGGAAAAACTTTGATCGGTATTTCTTTCAAAAATCACCCGCGTTTACGCAAATGTGAAACGCCACCGAATGCGAGACAAAGTTTAAATTGTAAGCCTTTCGAAGCCCTGAAAAATCTTAGCTGACGAATCAAAGCCGCATTACCAAAATTTCAGGTCCGTATTTCACTTTTTGTGGTGGACCAAAATATCATTAATTCTTGAATTACAGTCGCATAAAGCGAACGCAATGCAATAAGAGGATTTAAAAAATGACGTTATGCATTTTTTTGTCTTGGAATTGACCTTATACTGTACGATTATATAACTTCTGAACAGTCAGTTTCATGTTTGCATAACATGCTTTGAAATTATCCTGAGAGGTATGAATATTTATCTTGAGATATTGGGCGAATTGCTCATCTCAGTGAAAATCACGAGAAGGGCTTTTCGTATTCGCGTAAGTGTGGTATTTTAAACGTTCTGAAAAAATAATAAAATTTTTGATCGTTTCCAGGTAAATGTTTAGCGTGTCAGTCAAAGGCGACCTTCTTCAATATCAGTGCGTCCTCGTTGACATCGAAATGGTTTGGAGAAGCGGAGAAAATGGTTCGAACTTTATTCGCTGTTGCTCGGTTAGTAAAATACTTTGAATTCATATCTTCAGCCAGATCGTTGCTCTCGAAGTTTCTCTATTAAAAATATTTATAAACGAATCCTTAGGTGTAGAGCCCCTGCAGTAATTTTCTTGGACGAAGTCGACTCCGTTCTGACGGCTCGAACCGGAGATGAAAGCGACAGCGTACGAAGAATAAAAACAGAATTCTTCGTGCAGCTCGTGAGTTCACTCAAATTTCCTGTAAAAAAAAAAAAAAAACAGTGCATTGCATATACTGTATTATGCAACTGCTGTTTTATGGGACTTCTCAGCGTTTCCAAAAATTATTTAATATTTTTTGCTCAAAATAGCGCGGTCTTGAAAGCAGCGCTTGAGCAAAACAGTTCCCAGGATATCAAGTCCGAAAACGCGACTTGTGAAGCGGAGTTCCGATTCGTACAACACTTCGCGGAGCCGAAGTGTTGTACGAAGTGTCTGTTCGGTTTATTCAAATGAGTCTGCTAAAAATATTTTCTGAAACGAGGTATAAATGATATTAAATTTCTGCGCATTCGAATCGTTGATAATTACCTATCTGTTGATCGTCTTTGTTTTTCCCTAGAGGTAAGAATGCTCATTTTGTTGACATGCGCTGCTCTGGGACGCGTTCTAATTTTGCCCTTCCCAAATTGCTGAATATTTTCGAATAATTTCTATGATTTAAAAATACACAGGATGGAGCTGGCTCTGGTGATGAACGAATCCTTCTTGTGGGTGCAACCAATCGCCCCCAAGAACTTGATGATGCGGCGCGTCGACGATTTGTTCGACGGTTGTACATTCCACTGCCGGAGAAGATAGTAAGCTTACCTTGTTTTTCGTGACATTATATATTCCGTACAGCAAATTTTTTAATATTTCAGGCCCGGAAGAAACTGATGGAATCCTTGATGGGTAAAGTGTCTTCCGCTCTATCAGATGCGGATTTAGACTTCATTGCTGAAAAGACGGAAGGATTTTCAGGGGCTGACATGAAAAATTTGTGTCAGGAAGCATCTTTGGGTCCCGTTCGTTCGATTTCGGTGGAGAACATTGAAACCATCGGTCTGGATGAGGTATGGATGTCATGGCCCGCCTGTTAATATATTTGAAATGCTCTGAATTATTTTTTCAATTGATTCAGTTGGCTCCCGTATCAAAAATTGACTTCTTGGAAGCTCTGAAAACAATACGCCCAAGCGTAGCTCAAGCTGATCTTCATTCGCTCGTGGAGTGGGATAAAACGTACGGATCGGGTTGCAGTCGCTGATAAAATTGTTAAATATTTTGTGAAGAATCCTCCAGTACTCCAACTCTTTTTGGGAATGAAATGAAACTTGGCGTGATGTTCTCATTTGACTACAATTATTCGTTCAGCTAAACTTGATGCGACCATGAAAATTCGGGTGAAGCGTTCTTTGATAGTAAGTATTCAGTACACCACCGCTTAGGTGTATCACTTGGCGGGATACAAATGTCTGCCCGGGTTAGATCAGGTGTAACATGATTGGGAGTGAAAGTCGCCCTTGGCCGGGGGAGAGCTGTCGTGGATTAACGAATATTCAGATGACCTCTTCGTAAATTTAGTGATTCGTTCGAATATAAATCAAGATAATCTCCTTGATGTATCGCAATTTTATCTGAACATTTGGTGCTGAAGATACGTGCTTCTGTGGAACGTGAATGATCGCTCAGCATTGCCGGTCAGAGGTGTTCTACACTCAGCAGATTTGCGCGAATTTCGGTTACTCGAGATGCCGCCACCATCTCGAAGCAAAAGCGATGCGGTGACATTAAATTTTCCTGAAGTGATCATCGTGTCAAAGTTTCCGGAAGATCAAATCGAACTGGCCAGTGTTGACATTCGCAAGCTAGCGAAGGTAAGTCAGGCGGAATACGCGATGAAGGATTCCCATGAACGCCATTTTTCGTGCAGGCATTTGAAGAAAAATCCAAGGTAGTTGGTCCCGAGGCAGGCGGTGCAAACGGAGTATACTTGTGGTGTCACGAAGATAAACGAGGATTAGTTGAACACGTGCCATTGGATTCCTCTACTTTGCTAATTTTCGAACGCTTCGATGATTCGGGAGAGAGTACATTTAGTAGAATACATTCTAAGATATCCCAACTTCGCAAACAAGAACGTCCTTCGTGAGTGCCGCTCAGATTTTTCTTCGCATTTATTCTGAGCTTTTCTGATCAAGTTGGAATGTTCAGTTTGGTAGGCCCTCAAGTGATCTTGAGTTCAATGGCGAAGAATACGATCTTGCGACCGCAACCGTACGCCAGATGGTGCAATAGTATGAGTGGAATGATCATCTGTTTCTCAGGCATCAAGGAAGACAAAGGATCCACGACGTGTGATGTTAGTTTGCTCCAGTTTCTGGTGTAGTCCCTCTCATAATTTGATGAAATTATTCGCAGAAATTGAACCATTTAAAAGATCTCGCGCGAAGGATGGGAGCCACGGTCGAGAAGGATTTTGTGGACGGCGTTACCCACCTCATCTGCCAAACGCACCTCACGGAAAAATACAAGGTCAACTATTTAGGAGTTTATGCATAATTTAATTGAGATTTGTCCATGATAAATAATGTTCATTCATATTTGTAATTTCAAGATGGCTCGTCATTTGAAAATCCCTATTATGAGCGTAGATTGGATCACCACTTTGTACGAGGCTTGTCGGGAAAATCCATGGACGAACGCATCTGAAGAACGCTTCAGAAAGCTGAAGTTTAGGTGTTTCGAAGGGCAAACTATCTGTCTTTCACAGATTCCCAAGAAAGAGAAATTTCAGCTGAGAAAGCTGATAGAAGAAAACGGTTTGTTCAACTTCTGAAGGCCCACGAAATCCGCGTATTTGATCTTGGATTTTCGTTCGAAACAGGGGGAACATTCTTGGCCGACCTGAAGTTGAGTAATGTTACAATTTTAATATCTGGTTCGGCATCTGGAGAGAAGTTTGAAGCTGCGTTAAAATCTAACCGGATAATCATTCTAAAATCAAATTGGTTGCATGACTGCTGCGATCAGGGATACATGTTGGACCACGCACCATACCGTTTTGCAGAAAGGAAGTGTTCAACACCTACTTCTATGACTGTCAATGGTGTGTGAATAGCTATATTCAAAATTATGGATAATATATGAAAATTAAAAATAAACCCACATTTTTCTTTACTTTCGAATAGAGAGGCCCAGCTTTGACATAAGCCGCGTCACCGGTGTCAACGAAACAGCTATGGAACCACGAACAGTGGAAGAGACTTTTGAATCGACTTGTTCCGTTGATGATTTCCGTTCAGCCGAAAGAGCCGACAATGTTGGCTTTCCATTAAGTGGTTCAAGAATTTTTATATATGCTGTGAAATCTGCCCCAGCTTTGAGGAAAATCGTCAGAGCTGCCGGAGGAGTAGTTTGCAGCGATTTGAACGATGATGTCACCCATTTGGTAGCAGAAGTTGACGATAATCAAGCAAACATTGCTGAAGCTGTCACCAGATTGCTGCGTGGATACCCTACGGCAAAGTAAGTGATGTACCGAACTTTCTTCCTGCGAAAATATCTCTATTAAACGTTCACTCTTGTGTAGCCCTGTTTGTGTTTCTGCTGAGTGGTTGAAGAGATGTCTGGATCTCAACAAACATGTGGAAGAAAGTGATTATCTGCTCCATTCTCCGCCTCGACCAACTGCTGAACCTGTTATGCCGCAATTTGTAAGTTTCTCTGATGTTTCTCGGTGCATAGGTTTTGCAATATTTTCTTTTACAATATTTTTTTCCTTCCATTAAATTCGGTGTGGTCGTGGAACGCGCAATAAAATGTTCTGCTTAGTGCTATATTTTTCTCCCCGAGTCTCGCTTTACGGAGTCTACTTGTATTCCGCGAGAATTTGATGTTTAAGTTTTTGCTGAAACTTTTGCCCCGAGTTTTAGACCAATCTGTGGAATTTCTATGATTTCAATTTTTAATTAGCCTAAATTTTGTATGTGATCCCGCGATTACACGCGAATTGCTATCTGTCAGCGAAGGATTATGCATACTTATTTTTTTTACAGTCAAGGTCGCAAGCGCCGTGCCTTCCGAATAATAATCCACCACGTTTCGTTGATCCTGCTCCTCAGCCTAGCGCATTAACCATCGAACATCCTCCGCCTGTTCCCGGTAATTTTCTTTCGTTAATCATTTTTTATTTAGGTTCAATTTAGAAAAAAATATGTTGGCACGAGTTTGTGTTATAAAACTTGTTTCAAGGTTCCAGCTAAAACTCCATGGCACAATGCTAAATAAATCTTCTTACAACGAAAAGAATTTCGCTGTTGAGTGGGACTAATTACGTTTTCGAAGAAGTTTCTGCAGATTTCTTGATTCTTTTGGGCTTGAAGAAGAATACTCTTCACAGTGCTAACGACATTTTGGTACTTAACCTCTGTGAGAAATGTGTTATTATGCTGTGGAACCATCAATTTTTTCAAGTGTGTTGATTTGTTTAGGAAAACTCAGATTTTAAAAAGAATACTGTAATCTCTTATTCGTGAAAAGTTGCCACAACCTCGTGTGGCAACTCTGAATCTCTTTTTTTTATTTCAAATTCTCGTTTTGGTCCCGGAAATGTATGAAAAATGTGGCCTGTATTCAGTGTACTGTTCTGTATACTGTTGCAAAACGTTCTCATGCAATGTGTCCGGTTTTCAGAAGATGACACTGATCAGTTCACAGAATCGGAGGATATTCCGCGTGACCTTTTCCAAGGTAAGATGTTTTCTGATCTTCTGAAATAACAAGAATTTTGTTCTGATCAGGATTTTACGAATTCGTCGCGCTTTCAGTGAGATGAAAATTCTTTGTGTTGTGTACAAAAAATTTTTGTACAAGTAAATTTAATTTACATTTTTTTTATTGAAGCGATCCTAGCTGGCTGGTGAATTTTATCGTTCTTTTCCTTGCAATGCAGACCAAACTCTTCTGTTTTCGTTGATGGGTTTGTATTGAGCGACGCACTTTTAATTTTCGCCTACTATGTATGCATGATCATGCCCTTCGCAGTTTGATTTTTCTCTTTTCAAAATGTCGCTCCAACCTTTCAGGGAAGCGCAGTATTGTTCTTGAAGATGACGAAGAGAACTCCGTGTCTCAATTACTTATGGCGATGGGGTCAGTCGTTGTGTCACCCACGTCAACAGAACGAGTGGATTTCGCCTTCGTTGATATGGAAGCCATGAAGATGGGTTGTTGTTCTATCCCATCGACTCTGAATGCTGACGAGATTTTGTCCAATGGATGGATAGATGATTGCCGAAATGCGGGAAAGCTTCTTCCCGTTCAATATTTTCACCGTCCGATTCCATCGAAAGTGTACGAGAAGACTGAGCTGTTGAAAAATTGTGTAATAGTGCCGACGAGTTTCACTGGATTGGAACGCGAGTATATCTGCATCCTGGCACAAGTCGTCGGTGGTGTGTAAGTACCTTGACTGAAATTTGAGTAACGATTCCGGAATGAGTATTCTTGAAAGGTGCTCAAGTTAAGACTAACGAGTAAATCGACATCTTTCCACATTCCCACACTAATGCGGGACTTCATAATGTGATTTTTTGAAAATTTCTGCTCCGCGTTACTAAGGAACAGATATGAAAACTATTCTTTTTTGAGGAAACTGCTGACATTCAAATACAGTAGTAAAAAATATCGCCGAGGAGGGTCCACCTGTTCGTGGCGGTGCGAATGTGGTTATTTTTCTTATTGTAAAACCGAATTTTGTTTTCAAACTGTAGGTCGCTGGAAATGTTGTCGAAAAAAGACGTGCCCGCAAAAGGTTACAGAGCGTGCACTCATCTTATCGCGAAAGTACCAGAAGGACAAAAGTACGATCGAGCAGTGTTATGGGGACTGCACACAATTTGCGTGGATTGGCTTTTAGAATCCGCTTTGTCTGGTGTTCGACTTCCCGAAGTAAGTTTTCCTGTTGTAACTTTGGATGAGGACAAGGAAATGGAGCGTCTTCAAAAAAGCGACATACTGTTACTTGAGCACTTGAAAATTGGAGGATGTATTGGGAAGAAATACTTGCCACCAGGTTTGTATTTATTGCTCGTGGAGAGGTTTTGGCGAGTACCTCACTAACTTCATGCGTTAATTTTTAACAAAGCCGATGCTGAAGTGACCCTGACGGAGAAGGAAAATGTGGAACCGTTTCATTTAGAACAAATGCCTGTGGACGACGAATGGTGCGTTATTTTATATATTTGTCATTTCCGACTTTTATTTTGCCTTATTAATGTTCTACAGTCCCACGATGTCATTCCACGATGAAGAAATTCAGAGAAGTGTCCATCCTGCAACACCAGAAGTGAAACAGCAACTAAGTCCGCCTGTTTCCGTTCGTGGTGGTACACAACTAAGACTGAATGAAGGAAGTAGGAAACGGTCTTTTCCAGCCGCTCGCTTGCATGACGGCTCGTATTGGAGACCCACTAAGATTCCGGTGAGTTTTGCGAGAAATACTCTATAAGGTATGTTTTTCTAGAAAAGGCTACAAGAACGTCTTCATTAAACGCAAATTTTCTTTAAATGTTTTTTTTCTTTCAATTTTGTTGACGAGATTTGAGAATTACTGTAAAAATAGTTTCTCCGGAACGATTCCCATGGGACTGAAAACTAATTTATTTTAATGAAATATATTAGTGTAGAGAAGCTGCGTATTCATTGATTAGGTTGCAAGTCGAACGGTTTCTGGAACAAAAATTAAGTTGTGGAGAAAGTTGATTTACTTCATGCCTTAATTTACTTGTTACAATTTTCTACGTGCAGAGAAACAATTTTGTGAAAATAATGCTTGCATAATACCTCACTTTTTCATTTGTTGTGCCTTCCAGGATAATGAATATCAGACGTCTTTCTTTTTTTGTTATCCTCATACCTATTTTCTTTTTCAGAATTGCACGGAGATGTTGAAAGAACTGACGGAACGTGACCGTCATATTCTGCAACGAGTTTCAATACCCGAGATTTCTCCCCGAGAGCAAGAATTTCAGCGGCGTCACAAACGATTGGAAGAGGAACAAAAGCGGGTGAGGGAGGAGTACATGAGCTCCGGACGACGTCGAGATGAAACTCCTCTGGCTGGGCTCGTTGTTTACATCCTCATCAAGAAGACATCCGATCTCCGCAAATATTGCGAGCTTGCTGAAAAACTCGGGGCGCATTGCGCAGATGATTACGACGATAGCGTGACTCATCTTGTGGCGCACGTATGTTCAAATTAAATTTTTTTTTTTTTCGAATAAGCGCTATTCTTTGATTTTTGAACTACAGGAGGGTGTCGCATAGCAATTGACCTAACCGCTTATAAACTACTGTACCTAAATTTATCCCAACCTGACCTTATTTAGCGTAGCGTGTCTTGATCTGTATCTGATTTATACTTGACAAATTCATCACAGTTCGGCGACACCGAAGGAAAGACAAAAAGAACCACAACGCTTTTGATGTCAGGCTATCAAGTTGAATTATAAAATCAAAGTCTTCTAAAAAAATTCTTGGATATAATTTGGGTTGTAGATGCACAGGTCTGCTTGGAGTTGAAACTAGGAAAGATTTTGTTTGAAGAGATTTATTAAACAAAGTTTTCTTTCATGGATGAGATTTTTCAATTTGTATATTCAACAATTTTGCAGCATCATTGTCTAAAAGATCCTGTTGTTACGCAAGCTAAAGAAGATGCCAAATTTCTGGTGTGCCCTGCTTGGTTGGATCAATGTGCTGAGGAGCTTACTCGGGTTCCTGAAGCGGAAAAACCTTTGGGTTGGCGAGATGCTCCTTCCCGAGAATCGTCACCGACTCCAGATCAGCGGATGGATATTTCGTGGTATCAACCCGAAGCTGGAAGTTCGGGTCGCATTAATGCGGGTTTGAAACCTGTGGAGAAACCGTCGAATACTTGCAATTCATCGGAAAACCTTGATGACGAGAGTGAGGATCCGTGAGTATACCTGGTCTTTGTCATGTCAATAAAATAAACTGAGATGAATTATTGATGGTCGTTCGCAAATTTATTTGCGTTGCAGGAAACTTTTGTCGGACATGCAGCGATTGGCCAACATGGCCCAGCAGAGCAGATCTTCCAGAGGCAGCACAATTGCCCCCGAACCTTCGTCCAAGACCAGTACAAAGAAAAGCCAAGGTACAATTAATTGTTCATTTCGTGAAAGAATTTTGGTTTCTTAAAGTTGAACCTTGTTCAGAGCAAAAGTTGGACACCATCTCGTGGAATGACCCAGTTGCAATTGAGACTCGTAAGAAGTTTGACGCTTACATCTTGGCCGACACGCAAACCCAACAACCACTCACGATGATGCACCAGAAATTTATGGATTCTTATGACAGTCAAGGAAAAGATAGTGATGGGAGTGAAGGCACGGAGCCCTTGAACGCCAAAAAGGTACTATCCTCTTAAAATTTTGCTAGTTACGTTTCAGTTTCTCCTGAAATGACGTGAACGATGTTAGTACAGTTTCTGAATTGTATAGATGATTGAAAATTGGTAATGTTGGTGCAAATTTTGATGTCTTCTGGAATAGGATTACTAATTTAATGCGAATAAAATCACTTTCTCCTCCTTTTTATTGAAGAAAATGCCAAAATAGTTCAGGAATTGCAATCGGAAAGTTTGTGTTGATCTTTTCAAACGTGGATGTTTTTTTTTTTTTTAACTTGAAAACAAAAACAGCTGCAGACGTGTGACAAAATATTTCGAGTGAAATCGGGAATGAGCAGAATTGGACATTCAATAATTAATTCTGAATGTCATTATTGTACCTTACATAAGTTAAGGAATCGGCTACCGGCGACGTTTTTTGTTTCGGTTATGATTATTTTCAGACCGTGTTGGAAAATAATGTGTGGGCTTTCTCGACGAATTTTGGTGAAACGTGTCCAGGCTTCCGAGTTCTTGACTGTCAAAACTTTTTTTTAGGATTCGATGGAGAGGAGGTCTGAAATACGCTTGGAGTCGGAAACTGAACCACCAGTTGTGAGAGTCTTCTCCTTTGGAAGATTGAGTGAATCCGAGGTGCTTTGCTTTTTTATATTTTGTTTCTGTTTTGACGAAAAATCCCACGCTGTAAGATTAATTATTCGCATGTGTGCGATTCGTATTTTCCGTTCCAAAGATGACGAGGATGATGAGGGTGGTGGAGACGCTAGGTGGCTCTACTGTCGACACCAGACAGGTGGACCCAAGAGTGACGCATTTCCTGACGGCAGGTGTTACTAGGAGTGAAAAAGCGATTGGTCTGGTGGCTGCCGGTGCTTGGGTGCTTCATCCAAATTACATCTTAGATTGCGAACAAGCTGGACGATTTTTGCCGGTTGGTAATTTTTCTAAGAGTTATATAGATGATTTAAAAAAAGAAGGCCAGCAACCTCTGGTGTTGTGAATTTCAACAGATGAATGCAAATTGTTTAATTTACTGTGGTGTCCTCGGGAATAGGGCTGCTGATTTTATGCGAGCCAAAACATTTACCCGTTTCCCAAAAATGTGACTTCGTCGAGAAAGAAAACCCTAGTCGAAAGCACTTTATTCTATTCAAGATGCTGAAGTTCAAGTTGAATTAATGTAATTAGAAAAAGTGAAACACTTACTACGAATCTTGTACGCATTTCTTCTTTAATAGACGGCAGGTTTTTGAGAGGTGCTTCCTGATACATTAGTGATTAGTTCATCATATTTTAGAAGTTGGGTCTATCGTAGTATGGGCCCGCATTATGCATTAGTTCCAAGTAGCTAAATTTGTGACCAAGTCTGAGCTCAGTTGAATTAATTTTAAAATCATGGTACAGTGCATGTATTTTTCATCTTTTAAAATCAAACCGAATTTCAGTACTGTGTATGTGCGTAAAATTGTTTGTCCACTTGATGGAAGTGCGGAGTAAATGATAAGCTGCTTTCAAGTTCTTCGACCGTTTTCGCAAACACATTGATGAAAGACCTACGTATAATTTCAGAAAACGCGTTATGATGAATAACTGGCTTTTTTTGGACAGGAGGATAACTATGAATGGGGATCTCCAGCGACGACCAGTGAGTTAAGCAAGCACAACCCTGCTGAACGAGGCTTAGCGCAATGTGCTACCTTTTGGAGGAAGAAACGGGTTTTAGAAGGAGCAAACAATTCTTTTTCACAATTCAGAGCAGGAGTTCATGTCGGAAAGAAAACCGGAGCATTCGCGAGGATTTTGCAAGCTGGTGGAGCTACTCTCGTTGATACAAGGTTGAAAACATTTTTCGATTCCCAATTGTAATTCCTTTTATTTCAAATTTTATTTTTTATTTTCAGACTTCCCTTGACCGACTTGAAAGATGCAAATTTGATCGTTGCTGACGACGAGGACTTGAAATCGATTGATTGGGTGTCGGTGGCGAAGATGGGGGTTCCTGTTGTGACGAGCGCTTTCACTACGAATTTCTTGATTTCCTGTGGCAACTACAAAATGTCGGATTCTTACCATTCGTCTTACGTTGACGCTTTGAGAAAGTTGGGCAAACCTGTGGAATGAGGCTTTTCTCGTTTTCCATTCGTGAATGTTCTGTTTTATTTTGTAAAAAAATGTAGGAGTTAATGGTCATGTTTTTTACGAAGAGAAAACTTCCTGTATAAGCTTTATTTTTGTATCCATTCAAGTACAGTCTGAATTTGTTCTTGATTTTATGATTAGCGATGCTCTCAAATTATGTAATATTCCAAAAAAATACCTCGTGATTTTCAGTAGTGAGAATTTGCAGGTAGTTCTGAAGTCAGTGCCGAGATCAGTTCTTGTGGGATTTTTCCGGAAAACCTGAGAACCAGTTGCTGTGAAATGGACCGATGCTTAAGGTTTTTGTGGAGCTCGTTTTGAGTTTTTTCAAAAGCTACATCTGCATCATCCAACTTTTTTCTTTCTCAACAGAATATATATATGCTGTTGGAATAGTGTGAGCTGAGTTGATTGAAAAATCTGCGTGGATGTGTGACGAATTTGTTTCCATTTCTAAGATGTATTGCGAAAAAGTGGCAATGGTGAACTTGTGAAAATTGCAGATGTCCGCAACGGGTGATGCAAATTCGGAACGGAGTGATCAATCGCCGCCGCCGATTTCACCTGACGCAGACGCTGAAGAAATCCGTCGCCTGACATGGATGGTAACTAAGAATTCAACTTCTTGTCGCTGATGTGATGTTCAACGTTATTCTAATTCAAAGTTAAAACTTAATTGAAGGAATGCCGTGGAGTCGGAGTTTGTAAAGATTTTCACACTTATACTGTACGATTTTTAAGTTGTCATTATGTTACTTTTATGTTTTGCGGAACTTAATCTTGTATTACTTGTGTTCGACTTTCAATCAACTATCCGGTTGGTTGAATTTTTTAAAATCAACTGCAGACTAGAGCAGCTCGGGCTATTTTTCTTCTGTTCAGGATTTAATTTTTATGAAATTGTACAGTACAGTATATCCATACGTTGAAAATAATTTCTGATGAAAAGTTCAACTCGATTTTTTCAGCTACGCCCGTGTGTGGCCTATGAAACGGAGTATAAGCAGTGTTCCGAGATTGGAGGAAGATTTCATCAGTATTTCGTTCATGGAGAGATATTAAACTGCAATCAGTGGTATCACGACCATCTGCATTGCGTTCGGTGGACGAAAAAGGAGGACATCACCGCTTTGGTAAATTTATTATTTAAAAATTTTACGATCTGAGTTTATTATTCGATATATTTTTTGTTGGTAAAACGTCCGTTTTGATCTTCTCGCATAGAAATCTTTGGTGGAAAGCGAGAAGAAGCGTCGAAGTGATCGTCTTAAATCACATTACGAAAACGACGTGTGGGAGAAACGTGAATCACCACCTTCCGACTGGTCCTCTCCTCTTCCGGAGTGGATGGTGAAAAAGATTGAGAAATCTTTCATCGCTCATAAACGTGACGAAGTCAATCGTGTTCTGCTGAGCGAAAATCGAGTAGGCCGTCTGGAGGAATCATCGTGTACCATTATTTAGTCAGTTATCGATTTTTCTTCTCCGTTGAAGTGGAAACCGTAGTGTAGTAGTTTGTGGAGGAGGATCGTTCGAGTCAAACTTTCATGATGGTGATGCCTACCGAAACGCGATGTCCGAGCATGGTCAAGCTCACCGCCCAAAATGAAACCCTAGCAGAATTCGCGCAACCGAATTTCGACGTGAAGCAGAAAGTGCAAGCAATTCTTCAAGGCTCTGCGAACGTGAGCGAGCAGCTTGCGACGCTCTCCACCAATGTCACGCTGGTTGAAACCGAACTTAAAGTGCAAGTCTCTGATCACTACGAAGACCTTCTGAGTCAGGCGACGGGTGTAGAGAAACTCGAACGCGTCCTGAATGCCATGGTGGTCAAATCCGAAGCGTTGCAAAACTCTGTCGAACGAGTTCGGAACCGAGTCGTTGAACCTTTCAACAAAATGGAAGAGCAAACTGTTCTGGTGTCGCGATTGCAAGCGACTTGCGATCTGCTTCGTCGTGTTATTCGGACCATCAACATTTCCAAGCGCCTCCAGCAACAACTTTCCGCCGGACTGACCAAGGAAATCACCAAAGCAGCGCAGAGTCTCAGTGAACTAGACTACCTTTCCAAAGACGTAGACTTGAACGGAGTTGCAGTGCTCGAAAAAGACCAGCGATTCATCAAGCAAGCTCGACAACAGGTTGAAAAGCAAGGCGAAACTATGTTGACTCATGGGATTGAAGCCCAGAACCAGACTCAAGTCGCAACAGCGCTTCAAGTCTTCTACAACCTTGGTAACTTGGCTGGAACCATCGAGAAAATCCTTGAAAAATCCTCACGGCAGGTGAGAATTCAAATAGAAGCGACGTTTGACGTAAAATTAATGAGTCATAGCGCGTCGGAATCGACTGTTCTAAAATCCGGAGCGACCCCGAAACAACCTGGAAAATCGACTATGCCGACCCCTGGGCAAGCCGCCGCTTTCCGGACGACGTTGTGGCAAAATTTGGAAAAGCTTTTCGATTTCGTTTATCAAGCCTGCGCAAGAATTCACCACTTGCAGAAAGTTCTCGCGAAGAAACGCGATCCCGTGACGGGAATCGGATTCTTGGAAGAACTCTCAGGTTCCAAGATTTCGAATCAATCTTTGATCGACATATTTTGGAAAGACGTGACGAAGTTGCTTTCTTCCGAGTTTCTCGAAGCATCGCAGCACTCAAATTTCGTCAAGCAGAGCTTCGAAGGAGAATTCCCGAAGTTGCTGAGAATGTGCAGCGATCTGTGGAAAAAGCTCAATACCTTGGCAGAACACGCTCCGAGCAGTAAATCAGATTTCGAACCTGAAAAGGCTTTAAGAATGGTTTTGCAACCATTCGAAACCGCTTATTTGTCTCGTTCTCTGTCTCGACTGTTTGATCCGGTTAATCTGATGTTTGACGGATTGTCAGATTCTGCGCCGAAGAAGGACGAAGTTAACGGCTGTGTGAAAGCGATAGCCTCCGAATTACGAGTCGCTGCGGTGGACGTGCACCTGTGCAAAATCGTGGCCAAGAACGTGGCGAAAACTATTAAATTATTCGTCGTGAAAGCTGAGAATTTGTCTGCACCTTCAGATCAGAGTGCGACGCAAGTTGTTGATGTTCCGACTGCGACGCAGAAGCTAAACGCAGCCATCGTAGAAATTCTGTTCTACCTTCAATCCCAAATCGAATCGAAAGCTATTCGTGGGATTCCTCTTCCGGCTGCCGTTCGAGGAATAATTGAGGAATCATTGCAGCAGATCGACCAATTAACTCTGAGCATTGTTGCGCCGTGGATGTCTGCCATTGGAAAGGCTTTGCGGAGTATTATTTCCACCCTACATTATGAAGACTTTACTGATGATTGCATAAAGAAATCTGCGTATATCGACGAGTTCGAGGCATTCGTGAACCGTATCCGGTCGTCGTACTTCGTGGTGTTCGAGGAATGTGGACCGGAGTTCGTTCAGAGCCTCTTGAATCCAATTGTGCGGAAAACGATGGAGGAATTTGTTTTGCACGTCAGTCTAGTCCGTCCGCTAGAATCGGCAACGTCCAAAGGTATGTTTGCGTATGTCTTCTTCATGTTCTGAATGATATTGAGAATGTTGAGAACGCAGCTCAGATTCATTCATTCCTTTGCGAAGGGTTTTTCATCGTTTCCGAATAAAATATTTTTTCCGGAGTTAACATTTAGAAAATAACTTATTTTGGATTGGGGAAATTAATTTGGGTCTTTTCAACGGATGTGTCAAATACTGTACTGTACAATGAGTTCCCGCATAACGAAACACCCACACAACGAAAATAAATTCATAACAAAAATTTTTGAATCAGGAAAAATTGACTTATCATTACGAAATTTTTGTTCCCTACATATTTAAATTGTTTTTTTTCAATAGCGCTCGAATTTCAACGAGTTTTTAATTGAACTTCTGACTTTTTCCCGATCCTTGCCTTTAAAATTTGTAATAAATTCAGGATTACCCAAAATTCTATACGAATACAGTATAGTTTAATTCAAATTTCATGCTGAAAAATGCAGTTTTAATGAAATATTATGGTCTTCTGATTGGTTTCTGGAAAAAATAAAATATTTTACCATGCAATCTTAATGGAAACATCGTTTCGTACAGTATTACGAAAATGCCGATTAATGAAACTCACCGACGGAGACATTAGTTGCCTTATGTGGTGACCCTCGTGTATGTTCCTCGTCACTCATCGATAAATTCTCTACTTTTGATAGGTGGAAGACTTCGGTTGGACAATGACTTCACATCTATTGAGAAGGATTTAGCACTTCTGTTCCCAGGCATCAAGGGGTTGATACCAGAGTACAGATCCTTCTTAGCGATGCGCACCCTGTTGAATATGCCAGTTGAAGAATTGAGTTCAAGTGCTTTGGTCGGTGACGCCCTGCCTTACAGCGTCGCATTGAATTCCTTGTTGTCGCGAGCCCCGGAAACCCTGAGAAGTCCGCATCAGCACCTACGCATGAGTCCAGACGTTTTCTTGGAATTCATGGAGAACAAAAGCGAAAGCGAAAAACTAGCTCAGATTCGCGAATCCTTGGAAGCTTACGCGATGGAAACTAACCGGAATCACGGCGTTTTTTCCCCCGTATATGAACTGATGATTGATTTGCTGACGCGTGCCTTATGATCGGGAGTTCTTCGCACGTTGTTTCGGGCGTTGGCTGGGTTGATTTCAGCTTGGAATTCTGGATTATTTTTTCACCTGTTGATCAGCTCGCGAATGAAAAAGCGTTTTTTTTTTCGAAAAAATGATCAATTCAGCCACTCTTTTTTTCGGTATGTTATCGCGTTAGACTGTTCTTTCTGCGGTGAAAGTTGTTCACGGGAATTGTTGGCGAGGATTTCACGGATTTGTTGGGAGTCGTTTTGGGAACTTTGTGACGTGATACGTTGATGCTTTGATGATGGATTCGATCGTTCTCCTATTTAAATGCGCTCGTAATTGTACGAATTGATGGGCTTGCAGGGAAATTGAACAAGTTTCAGTGTCGTTGAAATATTCTGCGGAAATGGAGGGATTCAGTGTTGGTAAATCAACCATGAAAACGAATGAATACGGACTCGTATCGCCGCTCACGTACGGTCCAGGAGTTGACGCGAAAATTTTCGATTGCGGCTTTCGTCACCCGGTGGAGAAGATCGAAATGGAACACGAACAGAACTTCGACATTCTACAGAAAGTCACTGCTCGCCGTCTGCAAGTGAGTTTCGATACATTTCTTTTGAAGTCTACTCATGCGTAACACACGTGATATTTTTGCTGATGTGAAAAGGGAATTCATATGCCATTGAGGCTGGAGATGGAGCGAAGAGCAGCTGCCAAGGTTTCAAGATTGCCTTTCTTGCCATCGTCGAACTTGATGCTCGACGTCCTCACTGGAAAGGAAGACACACTGGACTTCAGTGACTTTCTCGGCATGCCGGAGTTCCGTGAAGTCAGCGGACAGCCACATGCTGTCGTTGAACGTCAGCAGAAGCTGCTTTGATTGTTCAAAAAAATTTTCCTTTTAACTTTGATCAATTCTTTGAATTTTTTTGTGTGTCGACCTTCCCTGTTGGTCCGATAAATTGCTTTCTTCGAGAATCGTAATTTCAGTGTACGTGGGTTCAACAAAAGTTCACGGTCGCATTGTTCCTTTGACCCCTGTTATGTTTATAGTATTAATGTTCTTTTCGAGATAATTCGTGTTTCTGGGGAAATCGAGGTTGTGTCTGAGGAGGCACATTTTTTGTTTTGTTTCGATAAAAGTGAACAATATCTTGATATTTGTAACAGCTGCCCCTTCAAAAGGCAATCTTATTCAGTCTAATTCCTGATGAACTCAATCAAGTACCGTATTTTTATTTTATTTTTTTTTCATACTGTGACTTTTTTTTCTGCAACAAAATCAAATCAAGAAGAAAAATGGGGCGTATGAACCTCGGGGCCTGGATTTTCCCAGAAACTCTTTGTTAAGAAAAATTGTCCTTTGGTGCGCATCATACCTGAGTCAAGCGGAATGTAATTTTTTGTTGGACACCTAAAGAAAAAAGCCATTAAATTCAGAATTCATTTCAGCGCGAGATCATAATTTTTTTTCGTAATTTTTATTTATTTTTTCTTTACTAATGCGATGTTTGGCAACTAAAAACTTGAGTAAGGGCTTAACTGAGAATTTCTTTTTTCCAAATTTTTGACGATACAAATCTGGTTTTGCTTTTTACTTGGGTTCGTGTGGTATTCAAGTTACAGTACCGTGCATATTTAGCAAACAACAACCCACATTTTGTAAGGGACCTAATCTATAATCTAAATAGCCCAACCTAATAATCAACCAGTGTGTCTCAACCTGCTCTCCAACTTCGTTCAATAAAATGATCCAGGAAATGGGGAAAATTTACAGGTGAACAGTACTACTACAAGGCGGTTAGGATAAGCTCAAACTTATTTTTCCCCGTAATTGAATGCGTATTAAAGACAAACCACCATGAAATACTCGAGGAGTGTCCATGAACTTGTTCAACTCTACGTATTAGTTCATCATGCAGAGGGGAAATTATTTCTATGATCTTGTTACATATTTGACAGAATGGACGCTTTCGATATTTTCAAAAAGTTACGTCGAGGCGCCCAGTTCGATTTAAAACGATTTCGCGACGATGCCTTGAAATTCCGAGTGAGTTATTTCATTTTATATTTTCAAAGACTTCTTCGTTTGAAGAAATACATTTCGTTACATTTGCGGGCGTTTAACTTGATTTCAGATGGTGAAAGACGATGGCGCTTACGAACGTGTGTCCGATACTGCAGGAATTGGCAGAAGGAAACGAACTGTTTCCGAAACTTCTTGGAAGTCCGTGGAAAGCAACAGCTCGTCTAAATTCACAAAAATTGATCCGATCGAAGCCCGAAAGGAACTCGGATCCGAAGACGATGAAGAAAATCAGAGCGATTTTGATCAAGAATCGGATGACGACAATGACGGAAAAAGGATGAACTCCGGGGTGAAATTGATGTCAGGCATCGACGACATCGAACTTGAAACAGAACGCAAGAAGAAAAAGAAGAGAGCGCGAACGAAATCAGAAGATGAGAAAGATTTGTTTGCGGAGGATGCTGAACGAGTAAGCATCGGATTACAAATGAGATCTCCTGATCTTATGAAAATTTCATGTGTGTCAGGTGAACCGAATCAGGAATGAAAATCGAATTCATGTCAATGGAACCGATGTTCCACCGCCGATACAAAGTTTCACTCAGCTCGTGTCAGAATATGGGATGAAAGATGTGCTGATTAAAAATGCTGCGGACGTGGGTTACCATGTTCCCACTCCAATTCAGATGCAGGCCATTCCTCTCATGCTGCAGGTTATATTTTTCTCCCCTTCAATTGAAAAAAAACATTCTCAAAAATATGTTTCCGTAATTTAGAGAAGAGAACTTCTGGCGTCTGCGCCGACAGGGTCGGGTAAAACTGCTGCGTTCCTGATTCCTCTTCTTCATCATCTGAAAGAGCCTTCGAAAAAGGGAATCAGAGCCTTAATTGTAGCTCCAACCAGAGAACTTGCTGCTCAGATTCACAGGTAATGATTGAACAGGAATTTCTCTCACATTATCGCTGGATTTAAATTTCTTCCGTTCATTTTCAAAAAAGAGAATGCGTCAGACTTAGCGAAGGAACGCATCTGCGATGTCATCAATTGGATCACATCGGAAAAAAATCTTCAAAAGCCGTTCGTGCTGTGTGTTCATCGAAATGTGGTGAGCTGGCCAACAAAATTGTGACCTCATTTTTGAAAATCGCGCGGCCTTGACCGTGTGTTTAAAAATTAATATTCGTAATATATTTAAATTGAGTTTTCATTATTTGCAGATTTGCTGGTGTGCACGCCAAGTCGATTGATTTACTTGCTGAATCGAGATCCTTGTCCGATTACCCTAAAAAGGTTTGAACCCGAGTTTTTTAGCTTTCAATTCTGTGATAATGATTGAGACTTGAACGAAATTCTCAGAGATTGCAAGGTTATGGATATATGAGCTAAATGCTAAAATGTCTCGCTTGATCAATTAATTTTATTAAGCCCCTTTGATCAAAAAGTCCTGTTTAAACTTCCAGCGTTGAATGGCTAGTCGTTGACGAATCTGACAAGCTATTTGAAATCGGCACAACTGGAGGATTCAGGGAACAATTGGCCCGCATATACACGGCTTGCAACGCTGCAAATGTCCGACGTGCCTTGTTCAGTGCCACGTTCGCTTTCGATGTCGAGCAGTGGTGCAAACTCAATTTGGACAACGTTGTCATGACCTCGATAGGAGCTCGTAACACTGCAGTTGAAACAGTCGAGCAAGAATTGATGTTTGTTGGAGAGGAATACGGAAAACTAGTGGCATTTAGGAATATGATTCTCAAGGTTCGTTCAGTATTAGATGGAAAACGGTTATGTTCAGGCTTCAATGAACCTCGTAATATTTTCCAGGGCTTGAATCCTCCGGTTTTAGTGTTTGTTCAGAGCAAGGATCGAGCGAAAGAACTTTTCCGGGAACTGATATACGACGGAATTAACGTGGATGTTATCCACTCTGATCTCACTCAGTTGCAGGTGAGAAATCATGATCAGTCTAAAGGCGTCTTAGTTCTTAAGGGTGTTTCTTGTGTGTTATAATAGCATAATATTTTGAATCAAAGTAGACTTTCATGGTAGATGCTGTAAAAATAAATTTTTTTTAACAATTTCCAGTGACGGATCCGGGATCCTATTTTTATCACGATGTTTCAGAATTCTTAACTAATGCGACAGAAGATAAAATGTTTGGCTCTCCATTTTCTTGAAAGACTTTGAACAGAACAGTACAGTATTGCGAAATTTTAACTAAATTAAACATTGAAAGTAAGCGTATTTCAGTTGAACGATTTTTTAATGACGAAAAATACTCACATCACGCTTATTCAGTGTTGGAAACCGTTTGTCCCACGCAGAGAGACAACGTTGTCAAAGGATTTCGAACTGGGAAAATATGGGTGCTCATCTGCACCGAACTCATGGGAAGAGGCGTGGATTTCAAAGGCGTGAATCTTGTCGTAAATTACGATTTCCCCCCGTCAACTGTGGCGTACATTCACAGGATTGGTTCGTTCGACTCACTGATCTTTATTCTTTTTGGCGTGCCTTTTTAGGTTGAAGTGCCCGTTTTTACCTTTACAGGTCGAACTGGAAGAGCTGGTCGTGCAGGTAAAGCCATCACGTATGTGACACAGCAGGATTTCCCGTTTCTGAGAAGGTATTGTTGTTGGTTCATTATAGAATTTCGGGGCACTGTCTCTGAACTTGAAATGCGAGGGTTATTTTCGTAAGTCTTGCGTTCTAAATTTTTTCCTCGGAGGCAGTCAGTCGGGTGGTAAACCTCCCACCCCCGTCCATTTTTTAATTTACATTTCCAGGATTTTTTTTTCGATTGTGATAGAATATTTTGGAGACCAAGAATATAAAAATGCAATCAATCTCAAAATTGTACATCCATTACCGCGCCGCAATTTAATTCGGGGATTTTTGATTTACGAAACTGCTTCCTCATTCAATTTTTGGTCCTCCCGTCCAACTGTTCTACGTTTCACGGAAGTTACCGATGTTAAACTCAAATGTGATGGACAGTTGCCTTAGAAATGCAAGACTAATTTATTCGTTCGTCATAGTTTTCTTTCCTCCCTTGAATGAGCATGAAACTGAAGAAAAGATCAATGCCCGAATTGACAGGATTAGTTTTCCAATTCAGTTCGTGTGCATTCACTCTTATTTATTTTATTCTTTCATCGTCGTCACAGGCTGTAGAGAGAGAGAGAAACATTCAGGATTAAGCGGAAATAGTGAGAGGATTTTTTTTAATGAGAACTGATGAGAAACTCCTGATGAAGATCTTCATTCAATCATGCTGGAACTGAAGTGTGAAATTTATGAAGAGACCCTAGTAGATCATGAATTGCACTTCAAAGTTTATTTGATCCTGACGTCGAACTGTTTCATTTTAGCATCGCCCAGCTAATAAAGAACAGCGGAGGGACAGTACCCGACTTCATGCTGGCAGCTCCGAAAGCGTCGCGAAATCTGAAGAATGATCTAAAGCGTCATGCGCCTGATCGACGACGAATCAAAACCGACCCTTACACTAGGAAAGAATTGAAAGACATGCGACAAAAGGCGATGATGAAGAAAGGAATTAAAGTTGAAGGATTTCCTCGGAAGAAACGTGAGAATGTCGTCTCCGGGTCGAGTCCGAAAGCGGAGAAGGTTGAACAGAAGTCCATTCCTGTTCATGCGTCAAAATTCAAACGAAAATCCGGCGGACTGAAGCAAAGCAAGAAGAAGAAAACATCGAAAGAAAATGCCAAAAATAAGCCGAGAATTCCCAACAAGAAACTGGGGGGTAAATCGGCGGTTCGGTCGAAATAAATTCCCGATCGTTGAATTTCAGCCTGCACAATCGATCAATATGGTAATTGATGATGACGTGTGAATAAAATGAATGTTCAACCTTTTATTCTTCAGGTTACCTGTGGATGTGTTTCGTATCGTATTTCGGTTGAACACAGTGATTGCGGTACGATTAGCGTCTTGTGTGGTTTAGTTGTAAGGCGCGTTGTTTTGATATATAATTTTTCAGTGTCGTCCTGATCTGAACCATGGTGCTGCTCGCGGCGGCAATATGCACCAAGGGCGGCAAAGGTATGTAATTTTTTTGTTTTGTAGCAGAAGATAAATAAATTCCTACGGGCAGTTGCCCCGTTTATTTCTGTCACATGCTTAGAACGGTTTTTTTCCTGAAACATTTTTCTGAATCTGAATCTGAATGGACATACTGGTAGTTAAATACTGTACTGGGGTTCGTAAAGGAATATATTCTGAGTGAAATGCATTCTCCTCATGTGCCCATCACATGGGTAGATGTCACTATCAGTCACGATTTCTATGAAACTTACGCCTAGTTGTTCCAAGATTGATTTGCTTCTTGGTCCTCCAATGTAGTGTACCGAAAGTTGTTGAACTCCTGCTTGTCATTTTCGTTCTGCTATTCTGATCGTTTCTAGTTCAATTACTTTAATGTGTCCTACATCTTCCGTGACGTGTTACATCCTTACTCATATCTTTTTTATTAACTTTTTCGTGGGTTTCCCGCGAGGAATTGAGACAAACTCAGAATTCTGACTTCATCGCGCTACTATGAGACTCCTTAGAAATCATATTTGTTGGAATCTCGTTTTATGGATTCTCGTTTAAAATTTAGCCCTGGTCTCACGTCAGTTCGTCGAGATGACGAAGTCGCGAATCGAAGGCCTGCTGGCGGCCTTCCCGAAATTGCTGTCTGGCGGCTCGACCGCCGCTTCGGCGGCTCCGAAGCAGCACACTTTCGTGGAGACTGAGTCCGTTCGCTACGTGTATCAGCCTCTGGAGAAGCTGTACATGTTGCTGGTGACGACGAAAGCTTCCAACATCCTGGAGGACCTGGAAACGTTGCGACTCTTTTCCCGCGTCATTCCTGAGTATTGCCGCAACATTGAAGAGGCCGATGTTTTGGACAACGCGTTCGAGTTGATCTTCGCCTTCGACGAAATCGTGGCGTTGGGTTACAGGGAAAGTGTTAATCTGGCGCAGATCCGAACCTACGTTGAGATGGATTCGCAGGAAGCAAAAATTCATCTCGCCATGCGTCAAGTAAGTTTTCTTTCGGTAATTTATTCAGTCTGTGATGAAGATAAATATGTGGGAACTCATTCGTTTTTCTTTACTGGAACTTGAGTTTTTCCAATAAAAATTGGTCATTTTAGTCATTTGAACTTGGAAGATTAAGCTGGTTTTCTGCAATGTTGAGCAGGTGTCGCCTGAATCCATGGCTGACCAAAAATAACCCGGTGAAACAGGCGTCGACTCGGATATATTTCAACAAATGAAGCCTAAGTAAATTTGACTGAATTGAGGCGACACCTACTTATTGGGGAAGATAATAACGGATCACGGTTCATATTTGTTCTGAGTGAGAATAACTTTTTTTGAAAATGATTTTTGAATTTGACTATTTTACGTTCTGAAATATCTGGCTTCTTCGAACTGCTTATTCGAGATTCGAGAACGGATCTTAATTTTTTTGTTGATTCGTCTGAGATTTTTGCCGGAAAAATCTTGAGTTTTCGTCGGGAAGAAAATGAAAAAGAATTCAATCGTTTGCTTTTCAGAATTTCGATACCGCTTTCTGTTCATGCTCCAGGACGTATCCATCCCATGGAGAATTTTGAGAACCTTTCATGTAATGCGACTTATTGAAAGGATTTTATATTACTGTATTATGAATGATATGTTTTTTTGACTCGAGGAAAAGGATTTAAAAAACATTTAATCCTTGTGCAGAATCAAGAGCGGGAAGCGAAGCAGAAGATGCGCGAGAAGGCGAAAGAGCTGCAGAAACAGCGCTTGGAAGCTGCCAAAAAAGGCTCCCGTCCGTCCACGACAGGTTTCGGCCGATCGAACGGTTACGACGGGATATCCAGCGACAGTCATTCGCGATTTGTGCCGCCAATGGCGTCCTCGGAGCCCGTGGTGACGCCCAAGCCCGCCGCCGCGGTGCCCAAGGCTCCCTCCGGCCCAAGCAAGGCGCTCAAGCTTGGTGGGAAAGGCAAGGACGCCGACAGCTTTGTAGACCAGCTCAAATCCGAAGGCGAGCGAATCTCGTCTGCGCCTAAAACAAGCGCAGGATCTACCAATAAAACTGCGAAGAAAGCCCCGGAAATTGAACGCACTGAGCCGTAAGTATAGTAGAACGGTTTTTCCCCCTCTAGAAGTTCCCTGTTGTTCCCTGAGGCGCAAATAATTTTGCGTAAGCTTATTGCAGCTCTCTTTGAAATGTGTCGCCTCGCCCAACAGCTGCTATTTATGAAAGATTCTTAGTTTTTATTTTTCGTAAGATGACTTTGACCGTATGTGCCCAGGGATTTCACCAAAAAAAATTTTCGTTGTTCTAGAGGTGTTCCCTAACTCTTATCTCACTTAAATTGGTGCAACACTGCCTAATTTGTTTTGGGTAAAACTACTTTTGAATTTTTACATTTAAATCATATTCGTTCACAGTTTTAAAGTCATTTTAGGATTTTAAGAATGATTTTCGTTAGCATTTCGTTGTTGAAGGTTTCCTGAAGTAAGGTCAAGGGTTGGTAAATCAGATTTTATAAATAGAATTTTAATCAAATTAAGTGTGAGTGGATTTAACAAATATTCGAGGATCACCCTGTCAAGATTTCACAAGATTAAACATTTAATGTATACAATGAGCATCCGCATACCGCAAAATTTGCAGGGGCGAAAAAATGATGAAATATTGGGGGGAAATGCGTTCAAATATTAGCAAGTTCTTGGCTTAAACTTGGTAATTCGTTTAAAAAATCGAGGACAAGTGCGAAAAGAAAGGGATACTTTTGCCTTGTCTTGTCTTTAAAATTTGTAAAATTGAGAACGAGAACATTGGCGCAAGCTCTTACATGTACTTTAATGCTATTTAATTTTAAGTTAACAATGTTATGCTGTAAACTCGGAAAGGACCCACAGTGGAGTGTCCTTTCCGGGACCCCAGGTTTATCGTGGTCCTCGTTTGAGTGTCTGGAACGAATTGCATAATTTATAAGGGATCCTGAAGGGCGAACTTGTTTCGCATTACGAGAATTTCGCATAATGAAACGCATCCAGGAACGGATCAGTTTCGTTATGCCATTTTATAATGAAGATATTCTAGGATAGGCCTTCATTTCCTCTGGATTCCATCAGGGTTTTGGTGAAACTGGAGGAGAAGATCAATCTTCAAGCCGGTCGGGACGGTGGAGTTCAGAGTATGGAAGTGCACGGGATAATGATGCTGAGCATTCACGACGAGGCGTTCGGATGCATAAAACTACGATTGGAAAACAACGATAAGAAAGGGTTCCAGCTCCAGACTCATCCCAACGTGGACAAGGAAGCCTTCAAGAACCAAAACATCTTGTGTCTCAAGAACGTGTCCAAGCCGTTCCCCATGTTCACAGAGGTCGGTGTGCTCAAGTGGCGCCTCCAGACGCAGGACGAGGCAGCAGTGCCTTTAACCAGTGAGTTCAACGATTTGCTGATGTACCAAACTTGTGCGACGAAATCCTGAATCGAAGAAGGGGATGTTCTAGAAATCTAGATTGTTCATAGTTTTTTATTTAATTTGACAATTCTGTCTTCGATAGCATTCACTCAAGATTTGTGCATCTGTGCGGTAGTTTGAAAATCTCGATCTTTAAAATGTGTGTAATCAATTAAAAAAAATGCTCCTCATTTCATAGGTTGAAATGAAAGACATTCTGAGCTTCATATTAACATCAGAATAGTCCTTCTGCTAATGCTTCCCTATGGGATGCGAAAACACGCAGACATTTACTGCACGGATACATTTTCTCAGGAAATTCAGGAATACTGTAATTTGTCAAAAAAAAATGGTAGAAAATATTTTTGTCAGTCCACGAATTCCTGCGTTTTTTTGGATGCTAAACCCGTGAACTTCGAACGGGTAATAGCAATGTTCAGTTTGATTGAAATTGAGTAAAAAGAAAAAAAGAAATCCAACGTAGCCTCTTTCGATAAAAAAAATGAGCACCTCGTTAAGTCCACGCAATTTTGAATAATGAACCTTGCTATTAATACATAAAAAATACCGTTTGTTACGTAGAATGAAGAATCAGTTCCGGATCAGTGTGAAATGTCTTCGGTACATTCTTGAATGGAACGCTTAACATTTAGTAATACAAATGGCTGAATCAAGAACAATGGCATACACGAACAAGAATAATGTTTCTGAAAAGCTTTTACCCGCTGAAAAATCATGCTGACGGACATATTTCCGGAGCAACTTCGATTCATTTTAAGGAACAATCACTTTTACTGTCGTTTATTTTCCGAAGCAAAAATTTTGAGAGGCATCTCGTACCACGACGGAATACTTAACTGTATTTTATTGTATATTGAATGCTGAAATGAGTGTGTTGTTCAATTTTTTTCCTTCTACCTCGTTATTCAGCATGAGTTTCAAGATTTTCATTTCATTTCATTGCAGTAAATTGTTGGCCATCGGAGAACGGAAGCGGGGGATGTGACGTGAATATAGAATACGAGCTGCAAGACGCTTCCCTGGAGCTGCTGGACGTGACGATTGTAGTGCCTATCGCCGGAAATCCGGTTGTTTCGTCCTGCGACGGCGATTACGAGTCAGATCCGCGCAAAGGGCGGCTGGTGTGGAGCCTGGCGGTGATCGACGCGGCGGCCAGGAGCGGCTCTCTCGAGTTCTCCACCAACGCCGGCACGCCCGAAGACTTTTTCCCTGTCTCTGTCTCATTCAGCGCCAAGAAATCCTACATGGACTTGAAGGTGTGTCTCGTTGGTCGATGAAAAGGGTTTTTTATTTTATGTTCCCCTTTGAAGAGGCGTTTCGGTGTTGTTAGAGCACGTGGCCAACCTCTGTGTGGGCGGACTGCGAAAAAGTAGCGCGCCCCTAGCAATGTGGTGGAAAGGATGAACTAGTTTATTTATTATTTTCATTTCCTCATCTACAATTGTTGAAGATGGTTCGCTTCGATTCGTATCATTCTTTTCATTGAATTTCCTACCTTACAGTGTTGAAGAAAGTGGGACCGCATTTGCTCGAATTCTGCGCAGTAGTTCAAATATTCAGAATCTTGCGCACATTTAATGATTATTTACATTTATCTGCTGGGTTTTTCACGAGCTAATTATTCAATAAACGCAGAGGAAATTAGAAAGCTGCTCAGAGTTATATTCTTCCTTTTCCAAAAGTAAGTGTAACTGAGACAGAGGAATGCTTAATTCTGCCATCGCAGTAGAATTTATATTTCTTGCTCCCGTCTTATAAATCCTGAAGTGTTGCGGGAAATTCCGAAGAAAGCTGAAACGTTCACGTAAATTTTTGCATGGGCGACTATCCGCAAGTCATTTCAAGCCACAAAATACTGGAAAAGCTTTTGTACGTCCCCTTTGAATCATATTTTAGGAGCGCGATGCTTCCTTGGGGAAACATTTCTTCTCCACCCTGCTTTAAGAAATTCCCATGATGAAAGTTTTGTATTTGAAATCTTTGACGATGTTTCGTGTGTGTGTTTTCAGGTCTCAGACGTGGTCACAATCGAAGGCGAGAACCCCGTGAAATACGCAAAAGAAATATCCCTGCATGCGGACAAGTACGAGTTTGTCTGAACTCTGTGTTCCTCCAGGGAAGAGAAAAGCTAACAAAAACATTCTTGTGCTGAAAATGGAGTAAAAAGTGTGGGAGGCCGGGAGATAGAAGAAAATGAACCCTTTGTTGCCGTGCGGTCCTGTCGTGGAGAAAGGAAAAAAAAGGAACGCACTCCTCCTCGGATAATTATGTCTTTTAAAATTTCTTGATGCTTCTTTTCGGCCAAAAAAAAAAATCATCCTCTCATTACCTGGGAAAGGGAGGGGGTGGGTGTGTAACCCAGGACGCGTGAATCATAGGACTTCTGAAAAATGAAAAAGATGAAATTTATTTTTGATTTTTCTTGCGGTTTTTTTTGTTGCTTTTGTTTCGGGGTAATGTGATGTTTTTCGAGGTTGACTTCGGCGTCCTATTTTGGGGTGGTGTCGTTTCTTTTTATTTTGAGTTGCAAGTCACCAATCCTCGGGAGCATGGCGGTGCTGTAATTGCGACTATTTATCGGAGTTGTAAAGCGGGTGGGGGGTGTTGCTTTCTTTCTGACGGCTCCGTGTGTTGCCGAGGTTCTTCTTCATTCCGAGTTTTGTGCGTTTTGCGACTGTTTGAATTGAATCCGAATTTTCTTTTCGCTTTCTTGGTGGATCGGATATCCACGCGCTGTTATCAATCAATTTTCAAACACACACACATTGCCCTTGTCTGTTGATTACTTGGAAAATGTTTGATGCACGGTGAATATTTTATCGGAAACCATGAATTGGAGTTGGAAATGAAGCAAAAAAATATTAAATGAAATGGTGATTTAGCTTTGAATTCTACTCGTTACAAGATGTTATCGGTGTAATAATCGTATTTTTTCAAAATCCTTCTGGAAAATTGAATTTGAATTATTTTATTGTTTACGGCATACAGTTTGACAAGGTGATCATCCGTTTTTTAAATTTTTTTTAATAGCTTGATCAACTTTACCATTCTGTGAATTTGGCTTTCAATCCAGAACAGAAGCTTTACAAGTGTTTCATTGTTACTTTCAGTGTAAGGCTTGAGGATGAATGCTTTTCAGCTTTTTTTTTTCACAATCAAGAAGTACTTGTTGAACGGATTGCTTGCAAATCTAAAATGCCTTCCAATGCTCTGCCCCAACTTTCTCAACTTGCATCATTGTAAAACAATAGCATTTTAAAATATGTAATGGAAATAAAATCTGTTTAATTGAGGACATGACGATGGAATTTTATTTAGTCGCATCTCCTGGAATTTTATCAACAGCCAATCAATCAGAAATTGAAATAAACCATACCCGGGGAAAAAAGGCACAGAAAAAGACACAGTCGAAGACGGAAATGGAAGTTCTTTGGCACGACGCGCCTTGCAAAAAACAAAATTCTTTACAATAAACTTTCAAAGCTAAAACATCTGGTGGTAAACCCGACACTGGACGGAACCAAAGCAGAGACAAAACCAAAACAGAGAAAGGTACTAGTCTAGTGTGTCATCTACGGTGTATGTTGAAATGACATTCGTAATTTCTCGAACGACAACGAAAATGGGGGAAATTTCTGCGGGAGAAAATTAGGAACAGTTCACGATATGACGGAGAAAATACAGTCTAATATGTAATGACATGAAATAGTCACATGGTAGATGACACACTAACCTGGCATCCAGGAGAAAACATTCCCTACAAGCCTACATACTCTTTCCCCAAACGCACATAAAAATGACATTCACAACAAAAGAGAAAAAAATTGAACTCGATCAGTTCGTGACTAGATTATCTTTGCGCGCTCCTCCAGCAAAAGCAAACAACCCCCAATTCACCAACTCGCGCAAAACCATAATGAGCATTCTTCTCGAGAATAAAAATTCAGGAGCCGAAGAAAAAACAACACGCAAGCGCTTGGTGGCACTCAAACGGCTCTCCAAGTCATAATCCATCACAGCATTTGAACAAGCTTCAAACTCACACGGAAACTCCCCTCCGCGCCTAACAAACAAAAATATTGTAAGTACAAGAATTCAGAGACGGAATTTTGGGGAGGAGGGATTAATGGAAATGCTTACAGGCAAACAGTAACCGTCAAAAGAAACGAATACTGTATTGCAAAATGTACGCAAAAATATCTTCTCGAGTCTAAGTTGAATCTCTGTGGTTGCTTTGATGTTCTTATTTTTATCCAACGTTTTTTTACTATTAGTTAGTGATTACTTTCAGCTTTCAACAGGAAAAAGAGCACCAAAACAGATGATAGAAAAAATTTGTAGGTTCGATCGAGATAAATTTCCTATGAAAGCATACGAATGACTGATGATCAAGGTAACCAAATCAGAGGGGGCAAAATGTAGAACAAGAATGATGCAAAGAAAATTATTCTTTCCAAAGAACAATTCCAACCCTGATACCGCCTCTGCAAAGATAATAGTCAAAGATAGCAAAGACTGCATTCCCGTGTTTCTAACCTCATCCATAAAAAAGTCATTCCCCAAAACAACGTAATGTAAGCTCATTTTCCTCCTTGCGCTTCTGAGGTCATAAATTAGGAAGATTCTCGTTTGTATCACAAAATCACGCATCTGTCACCCCACCCACATCAATGCTCATCATACAACATCCTTGAAGGTACAACATACTCCGCCAAGGAGTACAGCATTTTCGCATACCAATGTATGCCTTCACCACGTGTATCCGTTCTTCGCGTTTCTGCCAAGTTGTCATGATTCTCGGCAGGCATCAGCCAGTTCTTGACTTGGTAGTAAGTTCTCACAGGCCAGAAGGCGACGTGTGCCAAAGACTGGTCCTCAACAACAGCATAACACGATGCTACGACATCGTCCACAACAACCGTCCCATCAGCAGTCAAAGGAGCGTAGAACCCAGTTGCCAGGACCGGTTTTGCAGAAGCCACAGTTTCCACATTCATTCCAGACTTCTCATCAGTCGCTGAGAGAATCTCCATTCCGGGACGCACGTCTCTCGCAAAGATGGCTTGCGCAGACCGGTGTTCCTCTTCCGACTTGCCGAACTTGGGGTTTTTTGGGTGCTGATCAGGATCGTCAACCTCGTTCTCCGTGTTCTTGTTCACGGGCACGCGGGTATGGAAAAAGCCGCGTTTGACGATGTCCGGGTCGTTTGTGTCACTGACCACGTAGATCAAGTGAGATGGGGTTAGAGTGAGTTTGCGGCCAGAGCCCGTGACGAGTTCGATGAATGTCCGCGGGGAGTCTGGGTTGATATCCAGGAACATGAGAACTGGGCTGAAGCCTAGCTTTCCTGAAGACTGCATCGTCAGCACTCGGTCTCCAATGGCCAGGTCTGTGAGTGCTTTGTGTCCTGTTGGGGTTGTGACGTGGCTGGAACCTGGGAAACAGCCTCCTGATTTCCCTTGGCTCGTTTCTGTAACATTGCAAGAAATTACATAATTAAATTCTCAGTTTTTTGAATCCCTCAAATATCCCAAGATTATGTAGGAAAGAGAAAGGATAAGAAGCAGGGTATAAAAGAGAAAATGTTACAGATGAAAAGCAATTCACAGGAAGATTATCCAGATCAAAATGACCCAGATGAAAAATTCACCCGATGAAGGATTGGTTCATGTCAGGCTTAGAAAATGCTCGAATACTTAGAAGGGGGCCCCCAATTTGATACAATCCAAAAACTGGTCATTGGGTGAACGCGCTTTTCAAACCACTTCTATTTTGTTTTGAGTGCTTTCCTTCTGACAGCGGCGGATTAATTGTCATATCCAAAAATTACGGGGGACGGGGTTTGGATTAGAGGCGGCACGTTAAAGGATGACTTCCACATGGTCTGATATCATTCACAGGAGGCTCCATCATTCGTTGTTCGCGCGACACGTAGGAGCAGACGTTGTGGCACAGGTCAAGCCAGTGGGGAAGCCACGCGTGAACACAAAGCTTTTCTCGCACCCGTGGAGTGTCAGATTAACGTCTGCGATAGCAGAAGGCGGGGAATAATGACCGTGTCGCGCGATTTCCATCGCTTAGCACTCAGCTCGCGATGACGGAACCACCATGGTTTAATTAACCGGCCCACTGCCAAGTTTTAATTGCCCAATTTATTCCTTTCCCCTAACAGCGCATCCGAGGGGAATTTTTAACCCCGCTGATGCATCTTTTGTTTCTGTAATGCGATGTCAATCTGGCGGATTAATTTAATGAGTGCTATGAAAAACGGTATTCGGACCATTCGTTATCTTATCATCACTAATCATATTTCTAGCGTTTTGCCCTTCTCTTCTGGAACGGGTAATGCCCATCAAGAGATCACAGGAACGTTGCACATAACTATGGTCATCAGTGAAGCATGATAGGCACTTATATTGGCTGCATTTCAAAAATTGAAACAAATGACTCGTAGCGAATGTGAGGCACACTTTCACGAACGGTGTACGTTTGACACTTGGTTTCTAATCATAAGGTCAAATGTTTCGCTCCAAATCTCATACATTATCTAATGTAAGACACACTCCAATTTTTCGTAAAAAATAAAAAAGACAGTCGTATTTGAGTGCTAAGATAATCTGAATATTCGCCACGAAGTAATTCGGACTCACAAGCGAGGAATACATATATATAGAAACCAGGACACGCAGGTGACATTCTAGAAGTGGATTCCCATGCGGCACTGATGTCCAACACGAACATTGGCTAATGGAATTATCTGGTTCTGCCTCTCGTCAATGTCGGCATCTATTATTCACAAGCCGTCAACGCGACACCACAATGCACCTCGCTGTAACATGTTCCACTGCCGTTGGAATCCTCTGATGTGACCATGCAGGCCAAAGCCTTCCAAGAAAGGTTCTTCAAAAATCGAACAAACATTCCCAGAAAATCGAAGCAGGAGAATATTTCAGAAACACTGCTTTGCTTAGTTCCTAAGGGGTTCTTTGGTTGAAGGGTACGGCGTGAGTCAGAATTGTTCCACCTGCGCGAATCTTATTCAGCATTATCATGAATACGCGTAACCCTGCCTACAGCGCAGCGCCATCTTGTTCAGTAGCAATATATGTAATCCTTTGAGCCATAGAACGCGCGGTTGAATTTTGTCAATTGCGGATGAAGAGGTGGAACCGATAAAATCTTGAGAATTTACTTTGAATCCTCCTTTGTTCGCATACACAAATAGTTTTGAGAAAACCCTTGCAAGCGATTCACGGGATGTGGATAAATTACTCATGCTGTCCGCGCATCTCGGAAGAAAAAATCCCCGCCTGTGTCTTGAATCCTTTTAGTTGCTTGTAAGTCGTGTTCCTTCTTTTTCGCGCTGTATTCCATTCATCTACTCCGATCTCACCTTTTCTTTATCTTATCACATAGTGCTTTAGAACCCTTCTTTTCCGGCACTCGGTGTCGGATAACAGACAACAGTGTCCCGAGGAAGCGGGAGTTTCAATCACTGAGCGCGAGTAATTAAAGTCAAAGCGTCGCCTTGCTTTATCCTCCCAACAGCAGGGATATACTCCTAACCAGAGAAGAAAACGAAGGAAACAAATTGAACCGATCCCTCTTTGTTAGAATTGAGAAAATATTACCAGCACATTGTCTTTCAAGGTACGTTGCTTCCCTTCAGAAAAATTCGAGTGGTCCCCAGAATTTGTATCAACGTCATGTATGTGAAACGTCTCCCAATGGAGGGGGACGCATATCCGAAAATTATTCAGCGTATTTCAGTCGCACACTTTTTTAGAAATGCAAAAGAACTCGTATAGTGGCTTGTACAATTTCATATTAGTGTTCATCATGATTGGTAAGCCCACAGCAAAAGTACTTTTTCTTCCACATCAAAAGCCAACGCGGGGGATCTTAAGACAAAGCCGGGGATTGTTTTTTTCCAGCACGGGTCAGAGTAAGAAAACGCGTTACCCCGGGTGGGCTCGCAGAAATGCCCGCGATATTCCCGAAGCCCAATGAACAAGAAACCCCGACGACGAGACACACACAGGAAAAGAACACAAGGGAAAATAATAATAATAAAGGCAAAGCAATCGTTTGCTCGTCCGGTGCAATGATGGATGGCCGAGTAATTGCCGACTCTAGTCCCAGGAAGAAAAAAAAAGAAGCGCGTGTTTTTACGCTCCGTTGCTTCTCACATGTGTCCAATTTTTCACGACTTTTCGAGGGAAAGTTTGGATAAAGAGGGAACACAAAAAAGAGAAGAAAGGCTGAGGGTTACTTTTTAAGTCATTTTCGTGAAACCCCCTCCTTCTTTTCGAGGACCTTTTGACCCCTTGCCGTGCGCGGGGTTCGCAAATGCACGGGTTATTAGGGCGGACGTGATGCTGCGGCGCGGCTCATTAGTCATTCGCCAAAAAGGTGCGGGATTCCATCTCTGTGATGGGCTCTGGGTTTATGACCAATCCCCACATATTTTTTTTGTTTTACTTCAACAAGAGGGGGTTTTTTTTCGCAACGAAATCTGACACGAGCCGGAACCTCGAAAATCGGCGTCCGCATCAGGGCAAGAGAAGAGCGTAGTGATACTGAAAGCGACATCCCACTTATTCTCAAGACTCCTCCTCCATTCAAAATCTGCTCAGCAGGAAATAAGCTCAATTCAATTAACCCTTTGATGTGTTTCAAAAGATACCGACGGATTGGACGATGCCATATTTGCCACACACACAAAAATAAGGGCAATTCGGAGGTAGGGTCACGAACCAGGATTGATGATGTGAAATGGAAATTTTCGAAGGGGGAAACATTGCTTTGTGTGGAATCTTCCCAGCAAGAGTATTTGAGCAACTGAGAAAATCAGGACAAGTATGAATTTAAATCTTACGCATGAGTAGCATGTAATTTATTTCTTTGAACAGTGGAAAAATTCCTACTTCATCTTGACTTTGACTGCCCAGACTTCTTGCAGAGCCAGATAACCAAAGATAAAAAATAAAATAAAATGAATGCATCAGCTGATGAAGTGTCTTCCAAGCCAACAATTGTGGCTTCAAGAGCACTGAAGTGAAGTCTTCCCTTTGTCTTTCCAAGAGACTGTTTTTTCCCCCCTCCCCTCTTGCTTAGTCTGCGTTTCCTGCCATGAACAACAAAAGCCAGCTTCCCGCGGCCATCTTGGCTTCCCTGAAGCGTCTGGGTCATTTTTTCTATCTCCCCCCCCCAAAGATATCCTCAGTCTATACTCTACCTTACTCTACTCTACTCTACTGCTGGATGAGTCCGTTCACTTGCCCTATACCCGCACACAAACAGTATCTACTTACGCGCGTACAGTTGATTTTCCTTCTCACAAGCTGGGGGTGCCCAGCCACACCTGGGCAATGGTTAGTGGAATTAAAGAAATGCTTTAAAATTTTCTTATGAATCACCGTAAACTATATTTGAAAAACAGGGTGCACAGCCTCATCAAAATTTTGAAGAGAGTTTCAAGATTTGTATGATTACAACTGGTTAGATGAATGTTCATTTGCAATTTTGCACTTTTGTTCAATTCAGTGGTTATGACCCCATCAGGTCAAAAACTGGTGGAGGAGTAGGGGAAATTGTATTCCTGTCATACCTTAGGTCCCATGTGTGATGCCCCATTTGCTCAATGCGCCTGATGCAAATGAACAGTTCCATTTTGTCAATTTTATTGACCAGAGATAACAAAGTCCCATGCAAGCTGGGGATGCCCAGCCACACCTGGGCATCATGTTCAGACTTTTTCAGAGAATTGAAAAATTCAATCCTTTGAGCTAATCATTCTTTCTGATTGAAATTGGTCACATGTTTTTTGTTCACCTTTAATCTTCTACTTGTGCTCAATACACCAGTAGTGATCCCATGGGCAAAACTAAAGGTTATTAGGATAGATTATGAAGAGGGTGGCCTTGTGCAACAGAAGATTTTCAAAATGATCAATGATCAGAGCTGTTTACATGTTGAAGGACTACTGGCAATTTTTTACTTATGCTCAATGCACATGTTTTGGTCCACAGTGCTACACCTGGCATTTGAGATGGTCAAATTTATCATATGTTATGAGCCATGGGTACATATTGCAGGGAGTACCCAGCCACATCTGGGCATCATGTTGAAAATGCTAAAAATATTTTATGTCATCTATGTTCATGCCTATAAGCATCATGGACCAAATCTTGAATATATTTTAATTTTTTTATGAGAGGAGCATGTTGCAGTTGAAAATGTGCTCATTACTACCCAACTGGTGCATGAGAATATTACTAATTGCCATAAACTCTTCAACTTGAATGTCTCATGAAGTGACCCCACCCATTCACAGTGCTAGTATCCCTACCCCATTCCATAGAACATGCTTGAAATCCTCCCTGCCAATTTTTGAGGATGTTGTATGGCTACCAAATGGGACATTTTTGGCCTGTAATCTGCTTGGTGGCTAGACATCAAAATGGCACCTAGTCAAAGTAAATAAAATATAATTTCTAAATGAACTATCTTGATGAAAACATTCAAGGAGCAAAATATGTGTTAAAGTACATACATATCCTACACTTGCAAATATTAAACCATTTCCCATGCCAATAAATTCTATGTGGATGTATACAAAAAGAAGCAAAACTTGTGTCAGCTCAATCATTCCCATGCACATTCCAATGTATACTATTCCATTCACCACTGCACACTTAATTTGGAAAATTTTAGTTTTCAATTGCCCTAAAAATACTCAGAATCACTCAAATTATGGTATGCATTATAATCTTGTATATTAGCATGAATTTTGATTATCTGGCTCTAAAATAGGCACAATTAAAATGATTTACCTGTTCTTGTTCCCTATATCCAAAATTTCTGTAAGAAATTCTAACTTTTTCCAGTGTCACATGGTCAATTATCAATATTTTTCCTCTGTATCAACAAACTGAACTCAGAAAAGTTCATGAAGCATCTATACAACTTGAATGGTTGGAGTTGGAACCAATATCATTTAATATATTTCCTGCGGGTGCCCAGCTATGCCAGGGCATCACTTTCAAAATATTTCACAAATCTATATGATTAAAGCTGGCGCCATGTTTTGTGACCATCAGTTAACACATACTTTTGCTCAATGCACCAGTTGAGGCCTTGTTGGTAAAACTTTTGTTTGAGCTTAGAGATTCAAAGGCAAATCCCAAGAGGATGCCCAGCAGGTGAAAAATAGGTTTTTTGAAAATATTTGATGATGTTAGCAGGTTGCAGGTGGAATTTATATCTGTTATGAGGCTAAGATACATTTTCAAGGGGTGCACAACCATGCCAATGCAATATTGGGACAAATCCCACAAAATTAAAAATACCCTTCAACCTATCCTATTGTTCAATTTATAAGTATCATGTTTGATATTTCAGATGTATTTTACAAATTTATATGACTACAGCTGGTCACATGTTCTGTGTCCACATGTCATCTCATACTTGGACCCAATTTACCATGCATTGGCATATGAGAAGGGGGATTTTATCACATGTCACAAACCTCAGGTTTTTTCAAGTTTTTTTTTGCATATTCCAAGATTTTCTATAACTCTTTCTGGTCATTTCAAAGAAACAATTCAAGAAGTAAAATCTTTTTTCCCATTTTTGTACATTTTTCAAACATTTTTTTGCATTTTCTATCACATCTCACTCAATTTCAAAGCTTTTCCAAAATTTAAAATGAGGAAATGTTTAAAACTTCACTGCGCAAACAACACTTTAAGAACTTTTGTAATTAGTCCAAAATTGAATTGATAAAATTCAAAACAGAAAATATTTTTTTCCCAATTTTTATAGAATTTTTAAAAACAATTTTGTGTTTTTCATTTTATTTCAGTCAATGTTCAAGTTTTTTCAAAACTACAAATGATAAAATGTGGGAAACAACATGGTGCTGTTGATACAGTTTTAAAAAGTAAGTTTCATGTAGAATTAAATTTTTGTCAAATTTTCAAAGTTGGCAAAATGGAAAACAATATTTTCAAAAATTTCTGCATTTTTTAGTTCAGCTCATTGAAACTTTGTCAATTTTAATTTGATTTTAAAAAAAATTGCTGGGTGTATGCACACAGATGTTTCACAAATTTAAAAATTTTGCTGATTGAATTATGTTCATAATTGAAATTGATAAAATTTAAAAAGTAAAATCTTTTTTCCCGTTTTTCATACGTTTTTAAAAAAACGTTTTGCGTTTTTCATTGTTTCTCTGTCAATTTTTACTCTATTCAAGTGTTTAAAAAAAGAAAATGTTGGAAATTGAATGGCACCTTCTATAATTCAAGAAAATCAAATTATTTTGAGTTTTTCATTTTACTTCAATCAATGTTCAAGTTTTTTCAAAACTAAAAATGAGAAAATGTGGGAAACAACATGGTGCTGTTGATACAGTTTTAAAAAGTAAGTTTTATGTAGAATTAAATTTTTGTCAAATTTTCAAAGTTGGCAAAATGGAAAACAATATTTTCAAAAATTTCCGCATTTTTCAGTTCAGCTCATTGAAACTTCTTCAATTTTCATTTAATTCAAAAACTTTTTGTTGGGTGTATGCGCATGGATGTTTCACAAATTCACAAATTTTGCTGATTGAATTATGTTCATAATTGAAATAGATAAAATTCAAAAAGTAAAATCTTTTTTCCCGTTTTTTGTACGTTTTTAAAAAAAAGTTTTGGGGTTTTCATTGTTTCTCAGTCAATTGTCAACATTTTTTAATGTTTAAAAAAAGGAAATGTTGAAAATTGCATGGCACTTTATACAATTGAAGAAATTTGAAGTTTCATCAAGAATTCGAATTTTGACACATTTTCAAAGTTGAAAAAACGGGAAACGCGACCCTCCTGCAGGCCTGGCTGGGGGCTCTGTGGGAGGGAGGCAGAGGGAGAAGTGGGGAGGGATTGCGTTCCTGTCTACCGACGTACATACGCAAGTAACTTTATTAGGTAAGACAAGCTGGGGGTGCCCAGCCACACCTGGATTGGGAGGAAGATAGGGGGCTACATGAGGAGGGATGGAGTGGTCAACGCAATCACCGACCGACGTCGCAAGCAACTTTATTATAGGGGACAAGCTGGGGGTGCCCAGCCACACCTGGGCATCATGTTTGAAATTTCAGACTTATTTTATAATTTTATACTATTAAAATGGGGGATGCCCAGCCACTCATGGGCATAATGTTCAGAATTTTAGACAGAATTGAAAAATTCAATCATTTGAGCTAATCAATATTTCAGGGTTGGATGCTCAAAATGAGGAGAGGACTGTATTATTGAGTGAAATCCTTCCAAAATCAGGAGAACTTTTACGTTGTCCCCAATCCCCCTTCCCCAATCTTTCAATCATATGACACATTCAAGATACAAATACAGTATTCAAAAGTAGTTCATGATCAAGAAAATGTCACATACTCAGGGATCAGTTGTGCTCAATGAACCACTGTTGTGCCTCTTGGTCACAACTCACATATAAAAAGGTTTTTAAAAATTTCTACTATGCACTCCAGATCCAGCATTTAATGGTCTTTTCCCCATCCACAGAATAAAATGCCTATTTTGTTTTCATGGATCCCACCTCCCACATTCTAAGTTTTTCTCAGCAAAACCTGGTCACTTCCCACAAAAAAAACTACATAGAATGACAAAAGGCTGCAATCAAGTGAAGGATGTCAACCTCCTAGTGGCTTTGTTCCCAAATTCAGACCTTCAGTGCTTACCCATATCCATTGGAATGAAAGTCCAGTAAAACAATTTGACAGATGGGGTGAAGCCCCCTCCATCCTTCCTGTGACCAAACACTACATCTTAGAACCATGAAAGCCATGGCAGAGGTGCCCTACCAAGCATTGGAATATTGTGTAAAATGCAAAAAATCCTGCTAAGCCCTACACCACCTATCCCACCCTGCAACATGCATCACCCTAAACCCTACCCTAACCTTCAACCTAACCAAAAACTGGTGCATTGGAAATTCATTTATACATGTAGCAGTGCAACAAACTTGTTTATACTTCAAGGAAGTACTGTATGCGGGTAAATGTGAATACTTAGGAGGTCATGGTTCAGTTTTGGAGCAATGTTCCCTACCAGGTGGATTGTGGGCTCAAAAACAGCTATTAAAAAAGTTGACAGACATTTGTTAAAATTTGTAAATGGGTAAAATATCAACTGCACAGATTTAATGGATGATTTCATGATTGTTAGAGTTTTTTCAGTCTTTTATGGATATAAGGTTGTTTGTTCAAAGATCATCCAGGTATATGGACCCCACCATTTCCAAATAAACCCATTCCCATGGGGTTAGGCATATTTATGGATGACATAAAATTAGGAAACCCCATGTTGATTCATTTACTACCCATGATGTTTAAATTCACCTATGCCATTCACCAACATTTTGTGGATGGCATATTTTAGATAATCTTGTTTTTATAAGCATTGAAAAAAGGAATGAATAAAATGTTGCAAATCAGAATTCAAATTTCTTGTGTTCCTTTCCCACTGCTTGGAACTCCCCTTTGAATGCAATACTACACTGTGATGTGAATCCCAGTTTAAAATTGGGTTAAAAGAGATCAAAATTGGGTTCAGGATTGTGCCTCTCACCTCATCCAATGGTCTCAAAAATGCAGGTGGGAACACATCCCTTTCCCAAATACCTTGTTCTCAAAATGGGTGAATATAAATTTGTTTAAATGGCATATATTTTCATTTCAGCTTTGAATTTATTCAGTCCACAAACTTTAGCTATTAAACACTGTGTAGGCAAAGTTTGGAAAATTCAAGAATGCTCTGCATATTTTGTATTTTATTTTTTGAATGAGAAGTTTGCAAATATTTTGACACCATTCCCCAGTTCAATTATTGCTTCTACTCTTCATGCAGTTTAGCTCATTGTAACTTTTGAGATTTTGAGAAATTTGAAAAAATTTTGCAGGGTTCCATGCGCACAGATGTTTTATGATTTTACAATTTTTTGTATTTGACAAATGTTGAAAATTGACTGAGATAAAATTCAAAACAGAAAATATTTTTTTCCCAATTTTCATAGAATTTTTAAAAACAATTTTGAGTTTTTCGTTTTATTTCAGTCAATGTTCAAGTTTTTTCAAAACTAAAAATGAGAAAATGTGGGAAACAACATGGTGCTGTTGATACAGTTTTAAAAAGTAAGTTCCATGTAGAATTAAATTTTTGTCAAATTTTCAAAGTTGGCAAAATGGAAAACAATATTTTCAAAAATTTCCACATTTTTCAGTTTAGCTCATTGAAACTTCTTCAATTTTCATTTAATTTAAAAACTTTTTGTTGGGTGTATGCGCATGGATGTTTCACAAATTTACAAATTTTGCTGATTGAATTATGTTCATAATTGAAATAGAAAAAATTCAAAAAGTAAAATCTTTTTCCCATTTTTCGTACGTTTTTTAAAAAAAAGTTTTGCGGTTTTCATTGTTTCTCAGTCAATTTTCAACTTTTTTGAATGTTTAAAAAAAGGAAATGTTGAAAATTGCATGGCGCTTCATACATTTGAAGAAATTTGAAGTTTCATCAAGAATTCAAATTTTGACACATTTTCAAAGTTGAAAAAACGGGAAACGCGACCCTCCTGCAGGCCTGGCTGGGGGCTCTGTGGGAGGGAGGTAGGGGGAAAAGTCAGGAGGGATGGAGTGGTCAACGGACGTACGGACCGACGTCGCAAGCAACTTTATTATTATAGGGGATATCGTCATGAGCATAATTTGAGTTTTTTCTGTTGACCCTGCCACAGATATTCGATAACATGAAATATAATCGCACGTCTGAAGAATAAAAGTTTCTATTCTAAATCCGACTTGCAACCTTATTTTTCGGGTGGAGAATAATTTTTCGGTTATCTAAAATAATGTAGGGGCATCGTTTTTTTCTGATGACCTTTTTTCAGATTTTAAGCAACAAAAATACGATCGTAAATTAAAAAACTGAAGTTTCTGTCGGAAATCTGACTTCCAAACTTATTTTTCGGGTGGAAATAGTTTTTTTTCGATCTTCTGAAGTACCTGACCTATCTGAAGTAACGTTGTGAGACATGTGGTACCTTGCAATTTTACATTCCACAATTTGACGGTCAAATTTTCTTGGATTTAAACTCATGTTTCAACCTCTTGCCCTAAAATTCAACCTGCAAAGAGACTCAAAATGTCAAATTTGATGAAGAAAACATCAAATTTGTCATTGTTTTGCAATTTGACCCTTACCCAGTAATGGATTAGGGTCAAAGTGTTGGGCACCACCTAAACTATGGTCTTGCTTTTTTTGTTTCATTTATCATTTTATATCCTTTTCTGAATTTTGTTCAGATAAGAGCCAGGCCAGCAAGTTTATGAGGCCCCTCTGGAGGGCAGTTCCCTCTTGTCTCAAGACCTTTCTTTATTCCTTCCCTCCTTGCAATTAAACGGCCGATATCGATTGGGTAGCCAGGCGAAAACGTAATGGTGTCTACCGGGAGGGCATATTTTTATTGCGCTATTATCCCCGGGGGAAATGAACGTTTCAAAAATGGGGAAGGGAACACCTGGGACTCCATCCAGTTACGCTTCAAGCCCAATAAGAAAGAAAGAAAAAATAACAATAATGATAATGTGCTTCTTTGAATTCAAGGAGAGAGAGAGAGAGANCGATATCGATTGGGTAGCCAGGCGAAAACGTAATGGTGTCTACCGGGAGGGCATATTTTTATTGCGCTATTATCCCCGGGGGAAATGAACGTTTCAAAAATGGGGAAGGGAACACCTGGGACTCCATCCAGTTACGCTTCAAGCCCAATAAGAAAGAAAGAAAAAATAATAATAATGATAATGTGCTTCTTTGAATTCAAGGAGAGAGAGAGAGAGAGAGAGAGAGATATAAAAGGAACTTTTTTTTTATGAGGGGGAAAGTTCGCCCGGAATTTATCAATTTCAACCTGCTGATGCAAATTTTTTTCCGCTGCGGAGGAGCAACAAGACCATTTGTGGAAAACATGGGCAAACTTTCCAGATGAGACATGCAAATAACATTTATTTTTCTTTTTTTTTAAAATCAGGTTTCATCATAATGACCATTCTTGTCACGTACGGGGGATTTGCTGAAGTGAGACCCCTACATGCGGACACCGTGACATGCAAACATTTCAACATAGGGACACTTATTTTCCCGTACAAAATTAATAAAAAAAAGGCCCAACACAAGGACACTGACTTGACTCAGGGGCATTTTGCAATAAAATTTCAAATACATTTCATGCCAAATTACAAGAAATGGATATTTCCAACCGTAAAATTGATGTAAGAAAAGTTTTTGGGCATTTCTCTCACCAATTTACCATCCATTTAGGTAATTTAAAAAATTATCTCTGGCATAGAGGGACTTCCTGCTCTCTTTTTCACTGGAATGTTATAAAAAAAATGTCTCTTACGGTCGTAAATATACATGACATGTCTCCATAATCATACGTTAAGGGGTTTACAGGTAAACACAACTTTATATAACTAACTTAGTCAAATTTAACCATATTTAAAAAATAATTCATGTAATTATGGGGAGCATTTTGTCCATAAAACACCAATTAAAAATTGAATAATGTTAGTTCAAGGGAAAATGAGACTCAGCTTAGGGACATTTTGGCTTAGGGATGCTCTTGATGCACCAATTACGTCCACATCTCGGGGTCTCAATGTATAAATGCGGGTACATTTCAACAAAATGTTTCATTCATCACTCTCAGAGTAGTTTGAAATTGCAGCCCATGAAAAAGAAAAAAAACCTGGACCCCAAAACTTCCGCACCGTCAGTCATGGATATTAGAAATTTTTTTTTTTTTTAAAAAAGGGAATAAACCTTTCAATGCATTCCGGATATTTTCTCTCTTTTGTACTTTACTTCACGGGAAAAACCTGACGCCATTTTGCTGCGCAAGACGCAAGAATGAAGGCAAATGGAGAGGATGGAGAAAATGGGGTCTTTTTTTTCTTATTTTTTGCGTTTTTGAAGGGCCCCGGGGTGAAAGCCGCCTTGTCGGGTGGAAAAAAAAAAAAAAAGGCTGGCTTTTCTCTGGTCCACCCGAATGCTGCTCAACTTCCCCGAAATCGATTATTTCGACCCTCGACTTCCCGCCTTTTTTTTCTTCTTCTTCCTTTTCACCTTCTATTCATCCCCACTCCTCTTTTTCCCCCAGCCAACAGACAACATTCCTCTGGATTGGTGAAACTGCCATTTTGTGGACCAGAAATTGCGGCTCCATGGCGTTCGAACCCCGCGGGGGGGTTTGTTATGGATGAAAATATGCATACTTTTATTTTGCGACTATATACAGAGGAAAGTAAAAGAGAGGAGGCCCCAAGAGGGAAAACAGCATATTAAAAGAAATGAAAAGGCGCAGAGAAATTTTGCCGGTTTGTTGTTGTTTTGAGAGACTGAGAGAAGATGAGACGCAAAAAAGTAAAATAAATGAAAATTCACCTGATTTGACAGAACAGTGAATGTGAGACCGGGATTCGTAGTAGACCCAGTCGAAACCTGCTTCCACTGCCAATCGAGCCAACATGCCGTACTTGGACCTGCAAAAATGACACACGAATAAAAAAAATGCATCGTTTTAAATACTCCGTATCATGGAGTTACCTATTGGGAATGTATTCAGCAATTCGACGCAATTGGCAAACTCATTCTGATTATTTCAAATGCTCTGAATTCAGTAATTATTCATGCTTCAAATTCACGAATATCAAGCTTCTTCCAACTGCTTTATTTAGCTTATCCACTAAAATTGTAAACAGCCAGATTTTCACTAAAGCCTTTCGAACCTTAAGTTTTATTATTATTTTAAAATTTGTCGTAAAGCGTTTACTTCTTTTAGGCATAAGTAACCTTTTGACTCGTAAACTTTTTTTAGATGAATAAGAATAAGGTACCATTTCTGTAGTACAGCAGGGTCTTTGCTGACAAACAAAATTTTGCAAGCACAATTTTTTTCGACTAAAATTTATGTAAGCCAGTGTGGAACAATTCAAATTTTTTTCCAGGATGGAAAATTAAAGTTTTTGCTACCAAAAACTTTCATTTAACCTCCACTAATTTTAAACAGTCAGATCTGCTTAAAATTGATTTCGGAAAGCTTGGAATTCTAAATAAATAAATAAAATTCCAACAGCATTTCGCAAGTACATTACTGTACAGAAAATCCGTATTCATTGAAAAACGGAGAATTTGAAAAAAAATCTACTTATTCACATTCCATGTATTTCTGTAGTACAAAAGGGTCTTCGCAGACAAACAGGAATTTTTCAAGCGCAATTTTTGTCAACTGGAATGTTTTTAAGCCAACTTGGAACAATTCAAATTTTTTTTCCACGGCGGAAAATTAAAGCTTTTGCCACCAAAAACTTTCATTTAGCCTCCACTAATTGTAAACTGCTGGATTTAGTGATTTCTGAAAGCTTGGAATTCAAAATAGCTTGGAATTCAAAGTATGGAAATCCATATTCATTGGAAAACTGCGCATTTCAAAAAATCAACTTATATTCATATTCCATGCATTTCTGTACTTCACAACAGGGTCTTTGATGACAAAAGCGCAATTTTTCAAGCACAATGTTTGTAAGCCATATTTTCTGGAACAATTCAATTTTTTTCATTCCTGTGAGGAAAATTTAAGTTCCTGCTACCCAAAAGATTTCTAATCTAATATGGATCCCAGTTTGTAAAAGCTATACAGCGCAGAAACCCTTGCTTATCATCGTAAGAAGTTTTGCCGAGAGTCATTTTCTGCGTAAATGTTTCCGTAGCACTGTATTTTTTTTTTAGAAAAATTTCTTGATGTCTATTAAATGGACAGTGCTAGCCTTCAACGCTATAGGTGTCGAGAAGGAAGCATTACTTCGCTTAAGCCACGCACTATCGGAAGAAGTAGGGTCGGGAGCCACTGAGCGTCGAAGTGATCCGGCCACTGGTTCATCACACTGATCGCCAATGTATTCAGCTTCTCTTTACACCGCTGCAAAAAACGACAACGAAATAAAATAATTATAAACAACATATCCTTGTAAATGAGACTCAATCCATCATGATAAGTATTGCTCATCAAAGTCATCCTGGGCGCATAGAAAAGTAGCTTCGCGCTTTTTCTCCCAAGATGGGGAAGAATCGAGAAGAATATTCGAACTGTTAGTTTCGCCATATCGCAAAATGGCTGATTTGATGTAAGATGGCTCCACGGGTCGGATTGGGAATCTGTATATAGCAGTGTTCCCCAACCTTTTTGGGCCCGCGGACCAGCAAATTCCCATGAAATTTTTTATAGACTGTGTCAAAAATGTTCTGCAGACTGGCAACGTTTTGTCAAATTTGTAGACTCTCAAAAAAGTTTTGCCTCAAATACTTAATGGCAGGTATTGAAAAAGTTTCTGCTTTTTTGAAAATAAAAGTTGAGAACCAATGAAGCAAATACAGGTGGTACCTTGCAATTTGACCATAATCTGTTGCCTGACTAGGGTCAAATTGCCAGACACTCTGTGAAATTTGAAATTATACATAAAAAAAAACTGGCCAAAGCAGGTCAAATTGCGGAGGGCAAGGGTTGAATTGCAAGTCAACCTCCGTGCAAATTTGACCATCAAATTGTGAAACAGTTGAATTGCAGGAGGTCAAATTGCAAGGTACCACCCATACAGCAGAATGTCTTCAAATAAAAATTAGGAAGGTGGGCTTGAACAAAAATTCCACAGAATGAAAAATTGAAATAATTTATTTCATCAGGTGAACATTTGTCTGGAGCGTTATTAGGAGAAAAGCCAACTTTTATTTTTCACAATATAATTTCAACTGCAATTGTCTTGCAAAAATTTCAGACAAAGATACTCAAATGTCCTTCATTGGTTGCCTTGATAAATTTATTTTGCTTGAGATTTAAAGGTTCGTCGCCCAACCCCTTGTGACTAGATACCGTATGTTTGTAGTAGAACCTTTGACGTTATGAATACTGTTATTTAAACACTTTGTCTAAGTTAATGTCACTCATCATCTTATAACACAAAGAAATTCACTACTAGGAGAATTTCTTTGGGCCAGCAATAGAAGTTTATTGTAACAAAATTCAATCTGTATATGAGCGAGCTAACTTTTCTGATCATCAATCAGAATTTGAAAATGCATAACTGTCATGCATTTTCAAATTCCGATTTATTCTGATAAAGATACTCTAATGTCCTTCATTGGTTGCCTCAATACATTTATTATGCTTGAGAAAATTTCCCGCGGACCAGCACAAATGTTATGCATTTTCAAATTCTGTTTGATGATCCATTCTGTCCTTTTCTTTCTTCTATAACTGTTGGAAGATTTAAAAAAAAATAAAGACAGAGTGGATTGCGAAAATCAAGGGCGAAAATACCGACGCCGAACAATCCTCGCCATTGGTCGCGAAATGGACCCGCCTTCGGACATCAAATCCCCAATAAAATAAGGCCTCGACATTTTTCCAATTATCTCTCTGTCACACACGCACACACGACACTGTCGTTGCACCATTCACGGCCTGTCTCTTAATTGAATACAAGAGAGAACATATATACCCATTAAAAAGCATAAAACTCTCTTTTTCTGACGCATGCGTGACGACAGTTTGCGTGACGACAGGCGGTTCGTTTGCAGGGGGCCTCCGACCTCCGCGGATATCACAAAGCTTGTTGAATTACACATCTCCTTGATTCATGTCTCATTCCCGGGGCACAGAAACGTCATTATTCATTGNAAATTTCCAAGCAGCGGGTTGGGGAACACTGATCTATGGCATACAAACATCATCTTGGAAACTGCAATACTTATGACAATAAATTTGTGAAACAGATTCAATTACAGTGAGTAGTAGAATATTGTGTGAGAAATTCACTACTAGGAGAATTTCTTTGGGCCAGCACTAGAAGTTTATTGTAACAAGATTCAATCTGTATGAGCAAGCTAACTTTTCTGATCATCAATCAGAATTTGAAAATGCATAACTGTCATGCATTTTCAAATTCTGATTTATCCTGATAAAGATACTCTAATGTCCTTCATTGGTTGCCTTAATAGATTTATTATGCTTGAGAAAATTTCCCGCGGACCAGCACAAATGTTATGCATTTTCAAATTCTGTTTGATGATCCATTCTGTCCTTTTCTTTCTTCTATAACTGTTGGAAGATTTAAAAAAATAAAGACAGGAAGGCGTTGCGAAAAATCAAGGGCGAAAATACCGACGCCGAACAATCCTCGCCATTGGTCGCGAAATGGACCCGCCTTCGGACATCAAATCCCCAATAAAATAAGGCCTCGACATTTTTCCAATTATCTCTCTGTCACACACGCACACACGACACTGTCGTTGCACCATTCACGGCCTGTCTCTTAATTGAATACAAGAGAGAACATATATACCCATTAAAAAGCATAAAACTCTCTTTTTCTGACGCATGCGTGACGACAGTTTGCGTGACGACAGGCGGTTCGTTTGCAGGGGGCCTCCGACCTCCGCGGATATCACAAAGCTTGTTGAATTACACATCTCCTTGATTCATGTCTCATTCCCGGGGCACAGAAACGTCATTATTCATTGTCCTTGCTGGAGAATGAGCAGCATAATTACTCGGTTCGGGAATTGCGGAAGCCAACGTATACATAACGACTACGGAAAAAAATCGGGACGGGGAAGTTAATTAACCGGCTCCCATGTCACCAAGGTCGACTGGATTCTGATCGCTTAACGATGAATTGTTGCTCGGAATCGTGGCTTTTGTTCATATCTGATGTAAAATGGCCGTCGCGGATGACAAAATGGCTGCGGGTAACCCTCGAAAAGAGAGAGACTTGTATTTAAAGTTCAATTGGTCCGTCGACGCAAAACAGAACATAAATCCGTTCCAAAAGACGAGTTTCTTATTGTACACGAAACACGACGAGGTCTTGTAAAATAATATTTAATATATTCCATATACACATCTCTTAACATAGGTCCTTTTTTTGTATTCAAGCATGATATCGTGTTTAAAATTAAATCAAGTCCATTAATTTCACGCGCCCAACTTTTATTCATTCTCTGGTGCATCTCAAACAACATTGGTTCTTAATTGATGGTGAACAGGTTCGAGACAAATATTTGAAATAATTCGAACGCAAAATTCGATTTTTTTTTTAATCGTGGTAACTTTCAACCAAACGCTGAAGCGATTTTAAAAGTATCCTAGAGTTGAATTCGCTGAAACAAAGGTGATCATAGAAGTGCAAGGAATTTTTTGATGTTTTTCCTTGGAAATTATTTATAATATTGGTTAATATTTACAAGAAATAGTGCGGGCTGAATTCGGCAGATATTGTTGAACTTTTCAAGGGCTCAAAACAATCTGGCGATTTTGGAAAATCTGCACAAGATTTTGTAAAAATAAAACATAATCGAAGGAGAACGCTTGGGAGATATTTTTTCCTCCAAATTCGGCTNGATATTGTTGAACTTTTCAAGGGCTCAAAACAATCTGGCGATTTTGGAAAATCTGCACAAGATTTTGTAAAAATAAAACATAATCGAAGGAGAACGCTTGGGAGATATTTTTTCCTCCAAATTCGGCTTTGGCGCTGAAAAATTCTGCAGGAAATCAGCACAAGTCGCATTTTCTTTCCCACCGCTCGGCAGACAAAAAAAAATCGAGCAAATTTGTTCTCCGGGTCTCCGCAAGCGACCACACGCGAAATCCCCGGAGGAATGCAAAAAATAAAGTTGCAATAAAGGAAGAAAAAACAAGAAGAAGAAGAAGAAAGGTTTTTGACAAAAATTACACACATACCGGCTTCAATTTCGGTGTCTCTATATATAAGTGATCAAACAAACGGAGGGGAAACGAAGACAAACATCGCGAGCCAGAAATATTACCCTCAGGATATATGGGCTCATTTTTATTTTTTTTGTGTTTCTCTTTCTTCTCAAGGCAGCCGCCATGTTTGCTCAGTGTTCTTCGAAATCTTTTTTTTCTTTCCCTGCCTTTATTTCATAAGAATTGAGCGAGAGCTAAGTGCAAAAAAACTTTTCCCGGATATTTCTGCGCCGATCAAAGCTCTGCGCCACCCACGAAGTGGCAGACGAGCCTTTTTCGCTTCTCCACTTCCTATTAAACTTATTTTTTTTTCCTTTTGCCAATTTTTATTTGGCGCGACGAGGGTTTCCGGTATCGGGGAGGAAGTTATTTCCGAGCCTTCGGTCGATTTCTCACAGTCGACTGGCTTATAATAAACCGTTTTTATTTGAACAAGGGATTGAGTTTCCACGAGGCGAAATGCAACTGATGGGAAAAATAAATTTTGCGTTCTTTTCGGCCACTTTTCTTCAGATTGCTGAAAATGTTCCTGCAGAGTTTCACTGTACTCTGAAGAAGAAACAAAATAAATACGGCTCCTGTTTTTGAATCCAGAAGAGGACGGAATATATTTGTTAAAATCTATCACAGCTTTCACGGTTTCTGGCTTATTGCAATCTCATATTTAAAATTTGCACACGTTTTACTCTCAATATATCAGAAGAAAAAATTACAATTGCTTCGAGGAAAATGATGAAATGATCAATTTTGTTTCGACATCAAGCCAATTGGTCGAAAACTTGTGCAAAAGGGACAAAAAGATTCGATTCCATCTTGATAATTATTTATTTTGTTTTCTGAATATTGCAGTGAAATAATCAGATTGACAACTATTAAAAAATGGCCGGAAATTGACTCTCGCATTACCTTGGGTGTTAATTTT